TCCTTCGTTCCCATTTTCGCGCCGTAGCTATTATATCCATCAACGGGAACACAGCTCACAGAGGTGCGAAGCGGTGCGCCTCTCTGCTTTTTGCTCCGTCGAGGGAGCTGCAGGCCAAACACTAGCAACCCAATAACAGAAAGGCGAGGCGGAAAGCCAAAAGGCTCTCACTCTCGGCCGTTGAAGATGTTTCCTCAACAAAAGAGCCGCCGACGCGTTCCAGGTCTTCAAGAACAACTAAGCAAGAGGCGCCTAGCCTTTCCATTTATTTAAAAGAGATACGGCACGCGATCAAGCGACTTACAGTCTGACCGATTGGCAGGCACTACTGGCGCGCCAGCTGCCCTCCCGCTCTCTTCTGTGATGGTGATGGACCGACTTGAGATCTCACAGGGGACAGCTTGCGACGCCGGGCGCCGCTAGTTAGTTGTAAGGGGTCGAACAACATAACAGAAAAAAACGGCTTTACTTACAAGACACAGAGGCGAAACGCATACCGTCACACACAGATCAGCCGCGCGCGATGATTGCCATGATTGCCACGCATGGAATTCCTGAAGGCCTACGCCACTGCCCTTGTTCGGTTAGAAATGTAAACGCCTGCGCGCTTCGCGGTCAATGTTCTCCAGTGTGTGCAGCTCTATGCCTTTCCTTCAACTTGTGAAGAAAACACAGGGGACAACGATAAGAAAACCGAGGCAAACAGTTCCAAAACCGTACAAAATGGCGGCAAGAATGCGCTCGAGTTCTGAAATATTGCCAGAGCTACGATAGACAGAAAGCCACGCGGAGCCCAGTGCGCTGCACTTACAAAGACCAGAAGCAATAGCGTGAACACTCGAACAACTCCAAAGGAGCTCACCCGCATCTACCACGCGAGAAATCAGATAAAGGGAAAGGCGCGAAACACTCGGGGGAACCTCTCAGGAGAACGCCGCTACCCTTGTGGAGAAGCATCGCCGCCACGTCCTCGCTTGCATCACTTAACTCCGTGGCGAGCACTCTGCTGCCCAAAATCTTCTAGCTAACACAGACAGGACCACCATGAGCGCCATGTAGTGGGGCTCTGTTTCATGCACCACCAAGATAACACAACACCGCCCGCACTTGTTAACTTACCCTATTAAAAAACCGAAGCAATAACCGAGGCGCCATCCCTCCGCCGATAGTAAGAAAATCGGCCGACAGCTCCCATAAGCGCGACGCAGTGGTAGCGAGATAAAAGGGACACAAGTGGACGCCTTTCGCCCTTCTATCTTTTGCCCCTTCTTCACTCTCACCGAGATCGGCGCCCGCTGTTCTTATTAATTTGACCGGACTCGCCGAGGATGGACTATACACCAGAGGAGCCCACTTACCTGTCTTCCTCATTATCATGCCCCGCCTCCAGGCCTATTATTGCCAGGAGGCTCCCGAAGGTTGCCGAGCTGCAATGGAATAGAATGAACACCACAGAGGCAGACGACATACGCCACGCCTAAGAAAATAGGAGGACAACAATCGAACGGAGCCGACTGCCCTACCAAGATCGTGCGAAGAACTAGAAGCAAAATTTTGCCAGTCTTTCAAAGCAAACGCCAACGGCGCCAAGCTTCGGGCGGTTTCTTTCAGTATAATTGGAGAGCCGGCAGCGCTTGGGCGTGTAACTTAGTATCAAAGACTCGTCTTTCCCTTTTGACGGAATGGGAACTAATCAGCGCAGAGAGCCCCAGCGACTGCATTCCGCCCAAATTTATTCGGGCACTTCTTCCATCTTTCTACCTAAGCAAACGAATGCTGTCACGCTTTTACTTCCTTTGCTCGTTTGTGCCAAAACCTCCAAAAAAAGTTTTTTTTTTGCTAATTTAGACACCATCACAACACACAGGACAGACGCGGCGCGCCTTGGAGATGAGCTCCTCAGCTACTTAGTAGATAGCTGCAGGCACACAATTGCCAGCGAATGAGGAGCCTACCACAAAGGGCGAGAATTGCGCGCGGCCAGTCCTCTTCCCTCTCTGCCTCGAGAACGTCTCCGCGTGGAAATAAAGGCGCAGCAGCCTCGTCGCCCTCTGCTTCCTCATCATGGCCCACCGAAATCGCGGAGGTCGACGCCGCCCCTCCTTCCGAGCACTGCGCGCGCCGCTCTGCACACCGCAAGCGACCGCCTCGAAGATAGGACCCGACCAGTGTCCTCCCGTTTTTTGCCGCGCGTTCGATACGGGTGAGCTCGCGCAATGTGTGCTGCAAAGCCATCCGACAAAGGAGCCAGGCCCACGGACTTCCCGGAACACTCAGGAGCTTTGGCACTTTACCAGCCGCGTCTTTTTTCACTGTCCACCGCTTTCCTTTTATCTGTCGCCGCGCGTGTTGCATTACTAAAGCGCGCGCAGTCTGGTATAACTTGGAGAAAAGTGCGGAGAGGTTCACCGAAGTGCCAGGCCCCAAGGACTCAGGAAGCCCAAAAATTCGACAAAGAGCGGCGCGCGAGCCTGAGCCCGTCGGCGTGTAACCGTCGCAAAACTCTAGCACCCATAAACAAAGAGCACGAGCCCAGTTCTTCGCAGTGATGTAGGATATGCCCCGCAGCATGTCGTCGATCATTTCTAACGCTATCCGCCGGCCCCTTGCGTGCTTGATGAGCTTCGTCAAGAGAGCCTGCGGAATCGGCTGCGCAAACGTTAGGCGCCTAACATTGTCGACCGTCCACTTCTGCGCGTTCGCAGTGTTTCGGAGTTGGCTCGGCGGTGCGAAGTTCGGCGCAAAGACACCATCCCAAGTGCCACCAGTTTGCAGAAACTCCTGGAGGAGATTGCGACTAGTTGGAAGTCGAGGGCCGGACTTCTTTCGTGTGTCTTCTACTCTTTTGGCACAGAATGCGACGAACGAGGCGCCCGCAGTCTGTGAAAGAAGAAGGGAGAGCTGCACCCGCTGCCGGAGGCGACACTTGCGCAAAGGTGTACGAAGTTGCTGCGTCGCGTGCCCTGCTAATTCGTCAGAAAGCTCCAACCGCGTAGACATCTCGCACAGTGATAACACATTGGAGCCGGGCCACGTCCTCCCTGTTACGTCAAGGACGTTCAATCCGCTGCCAAAAACTTGGAGGGCTGCGCCCATGGTCGGGGATATCTCTCCGACCACATCAGCGAAGATTGCGAAGATAGTAAGCCGCGCCTCTTTCGGTGACTTCTCTATCTTTTTGCTGCGTTGTTTCGCCAAGTTGAGCAACTTCATCCCGCGCGCCTTCGCTTTCTTTTTCGTCTCTGTTGTTAGTGTCACTACTTTCCCCGCATGCCTTCGCCTGTTCTTGAAAGCACGACCAGAAGAAGACGCGCGCCCATGCTGCTGCTTCTTCGTTCTTCATTTGCTTCGGAGGTGTCCGCGCGTCGACCTTTTTCGGAAAAACTACCCCCAAACGGGCGCCCCTTCGAGGTTGAAAACGGGAGACGCCCATCTTTGATACTAACAGGCCAAACCGGAAACAACAGAGAAAGAGATAGACAAAGAAGGAGGCGAAGGGGCTATAAATATAACCTAAACACAATAGAGAGGCGACACAATAGAGCTCAGCAGCATCAAGTGGGCGCCGTAGATGTGAACGAACAGAGAAAACTGTTGAAGAAGCTAGGAAACTTAAGACAGAGAACTGCCCGGGAAAATCAAAAGAAAACAACGGCGAGGGCTGAGAGTTCAAAACAAAGAGTTCAACCGAATGGGAGAAGAGAACAAAACAACCACAGCAAAAGAAAACTCTCCCGAAGACGAGTGAAGAGAGATGACGCGAGAGGTTGAGAGCTTCTCTAACCTGCATGACGAGCGCGATACTCTTGGGGACTTTTAATGAACCTAGAGGCGGGGCGAAGAGAGAGGGCGGAACGGTTTTGAGAGATCAGCGAGGGGCCTGGATTTGAATTCCGTGGCGAGCCCTTTCTTGCTTTGTTCCGGGAAAGATTGCGAAGACTCGAGCAGAATGAAGAGAAGCGAATTTCTGAGAGAGATACCCACTAACTTCGAAAGAGGACACTCTTGGCAGGCCATACGGTGAGAATAAACCCGCAAGGTCTTCAGTTTGCTACCACTGAGAGGAGAGACGTGTTTTGTCCTAGTTGCGATAAAATGTCTGCCCTCTTTATAGTTTGGACAAGCTGAGGAGGAGGGTCCCCCCTCTGGGGTACCCTCCGTGAAAGCTTGTACCTATACATCACATTGTGGATTCACAAGTACCACGAAGAGGAAAAGCGGTTCGAGGTCACAACTTTGCATTAAAAGGAATAGCAAATGTAACAAATAATGATGAAAGTCAATAAAATGTTGTTGAAGGACCTCCTTCTTCAGTGCAATCAAATGCGTGTTCATCTCGATGAGGCCTGCTTTGTCGGCGCCGATATCTCGTTCGAGGTTCTTGAGGCCCTCCTCAAGCTTTCCCATCATTGCACCCGCATTAGTGCCCGTCTTGTGCACCTGCGCGCCCAGGTCGCGCTTTTTAGATACCGAAGCTGACCGCTGCATCTTGTTTTCCTTTTGTGTGTATGAAATTAGCTCTCTCGGATTGAGTGAGACCCTGTATCAGATATGAAAGAGAACCATGTAAATTAGTTGTACATTTCTATCCACATTCAATTCTTCTTTATTTCTCGGATCTAGTAGAAAGTGAAACAAAGTGGTACTGGTAGTGTAGTTAATAATAGTAGTACGGGTCGTAAATAGCCAGTCTTAAGCGAAACATCATGAAAATTGGAAGGTTCTCTACTTGACGAAAATCCGGAAAAGTTGGGGGTCCAGTGCTGAGGTTCGGGAGTATCAACATCAAGTATACGACCGATATCAATCCACGACCGATTTTGAACATTGGTGGTGGGGTGGGCCTTGGTCGAATCATCAAGTCAACTTAGATAAACTACCGATGCAGAAGATTCCGAAAAAGAGTCTGCGAGATTTTTGACGTTGACCGTCTACTTTTTTACCAGCTTCGAGCGTTCTCCTTCTCGGTGGGGAACAGTATTTTTCACCTTCAACAGGTACAGGTCTGATAGGTGTTAGAATTACAACCCCAGCCATCAGATACGATTGAGAAATGAACGAAGTGAGAAGCGTAAATAGAAGTCTTCTCTTGGAAACGGATTACGGTTTTCAGTAATTGGGACAGGAAGACGAGTCAACGCTTAATATGCATCCCCTTATTAAATCAATTAATCCCAGTGGTTCTTGCCGGCAGCCACCAAGTGTAGTCCGCATCAAGCGTGATGCGCTCAGTCCCAAAAGCCTCAAGGACAGCATCACACACCCCGACAAAGCGATCTGCGTTGAAGTCATGTCCGCTGATGTCGTCTATGACAAGGGGCGCGAAGGATGATGACGAAATGGGACTATCACGATCACCTTGTGGAGTCACGATCATTTGCAGTACCTCTACCTTCAAAATGACGGAAAAGGAAATGGTGTGGAAGTGGATAGTGATGTGGAAGTGGATTGAGCAATTATCAAAATCATTTTTTAGAAGGTCCTCATACACCAATACACACAGACACACACGTGCACATCTTCTAGTTGTATAATTATGTTGTCGAGCAATTGAAATCAAGGTCAATTTGTAGCATAAAGTGTTTGGTTTTCGACGCGAAAAGAGCGATGTCTGTCGAGCAGCCTTCGTAGCTGTGATCCCCATCAATGAACGTGACGTCCACCTCTGCTATCCGCTTGGAGGCTTGCAGCGACGTTCCCCTGTGGATGAAGATTCCTGGAGTTTGAGGATCAATCACTGGTGCTGCATCTACTTCAGCAAGGTTGCTTTCCAGACTTCTACTTGGGTTTGTTGAATTCAACGCTGCCTCATCTACTGCTGCATCCTCTACGTCGCTGTAATCGATATAAGTGATTCCGTGCTTGTTAGGTGACCCTCCTTCAGAATTCTTGGAGGCTGCTGGTGGCGAAGTCGTAAGAAACGACGAAACATGCCATGACGACAAAGTCGCATAGTGTCGATCTCGTAGTTCTTGACTCGCACCCTTGTTTGCGTTTGATCCATATTCTCCAGGTGGCTGTGAAGGTCCTTTACTGCTTATCGGCTCTCGCCCACTTCCAATATCTCTGGCCAACGCCGACATCGTCTCATCAACTACGACCTTCATCTGACCGTCGGTTCCCGTTCCACCTAGTGCAGAAATAGTTGAATGCGGATTCACTACTGCCTCAAGCGACTTCTGGACCGCCACAAAGACGTCCTCCCCATCTGCACGCCTTGAATCCCGCAGAGAAGGCGCATTGTTGACAATCGATTCCGTCCGAACCTCGTCCGCGACACCTATGTGCTCTCGCATAAGCGCGAATTCTCGATTCTCACTCTGCCACGGATCGATGCCGTGGTACTGGAGGAAAAAAGACGGTACGACCTGTGGCTTCGATTCCGAAGACGTTCCGGGAGTCGGCAATTTTTCGAAAGATTCTTCAGGTTCCACTGTCTCATCCATAGACATCTTCTGTTTCTCCCTCAGCAACGTGTCCATTTCCCGGACACACCACTGCAACATCCGGCGTGTGGTCCGCGCATCAAAGACACCGACTTCGAGAAGTCGTAGTACTACTTCTGGTTTTTTTCGTTTTCCTCGCGTCGCTCCTGGTGTAGTTGTGCTGCTGTTGCGAAGCAGCTCTTTAGTAAGATGAACCTTCTCCATCAATGCCTTCGTCGCGAGGTCACAGAAGACGCGCCACCGCCTCACGCCTAGAGACATCGTCCATCCAGAAGTCGGCCAAGTCAATTGTAGGTACGGACTTTTTTTTTTCATAGGCAACGGCGTACGCCTCGCGACCTGCTGCTGCTCTCGCAGAGTCACCAGAAACCATTTGGCCCGCAAGGCAACGTCATGCATGAGGCTGCTGATTGCCTGCATAAACAGGTCTTGCCAGGAACGCCACACGGAGGTGACCGTGACTTGGAAATCGACCCATCGAGTTCCTATCTTCTCCAAAATGAAAAAGCACTTGTTGGAGGTGGAGGTGAACTAGTGCCTTTTAGTGCTGTATCAAGAATGTGAGAGAGGGAGTGGGAGAGCAGTAGACAGTATTACTATTTTAGATAGACACGATCATTTTCTTGACGACGTTCGTACTACGTAGCTGCCAGCAGTACTAGCAAAACGAGTCCTCTACTTCTACGGAGTCTAGTGCAAGTACTACTACAATATCTACTTTTGCCACAAACGGCACAAGCAACATTGCGGATGTTGTCGATCAACTAGACGCCGTACGGTTGAGTCCAACCTTCTGCGAAGGCTGGATGACGTGCCGGTCGAGGACGAGACCAAGACGATTGATTTCCTTCACCAGTATCTCGTGTAGTCGGGGTACCGTTAACTGCGAATGGCGCTTCACCTCCACCTCGTTCCGCGAGTTCGATCTTGTTCTTGTACCTATACTTCTGCGCTGAAGATACGTTTCCCTGAGTGCTTGTCGACCAAGCTCACCGGTCCCTTCGAGCAGCTCCATGCGGTCGAAGAACGGAAGTTGAGACAGCATAGATGTCGGCCTTTCATCTTCTTCTACTGCGACTGCAACTGCATTACTTTCGTTCGGTCGTGGTACAACATCACTGCTTTTCGTGTTCGGTTTCGGAATCCACCATCGGTTTAACAAATTCTCACTGTCGCGGAGACGGAACATTTCCGGCCCGTTGAAAATGTCGTTGAATGGCGCTTCAGTTCCGGTAGCATCCACAATCTGACGCACCAGCAGGCGAAAGGCCGCCTCGAGGACACCGACAGTGCCCAGTGTCCACCCAATCGACTTATGCAGACCCGTGGCGCAAGAACTGGACATGCGGAAATCCTTGAGGCTGTGCTGAGGTGGATGTTGTTGCACATCCGCGACTGCGCCAGTGCTTCTTGTGCTATTTGATGTGGATGTTCCTCGAGGTCCAGAAGTTGTAGCTCCTGTCCTTTTGCTGACGTCAAGGTCAACATTAGAATCTTCAACCTGATGTTCCACCAGAACGTTTCCGAGGTCACCTAAAGCTACAAGCTCTTGGAAGTACGTTGTTTTCCGCACTGCTGCACGTCTAGGAAGCTCTTCTCGAAGCAGATTCCACATGTAGCGGCACATGCGAGCCATACTGCGAGCCTCGTCACGAACGCAGCGGGCATATTCGCTCACGTGGTATCCCTCGACGCAGGATAGTCGATTGTTCTTCTTGTTTGTCTTTGTCGTGTTCCTGGATTCGACCTCTTCCTCTCCGTCGTGGCCATACTTCTTCTCGCAGATCTCTTCCGCTTGCTGCTCTGAGACGCCATCTTCTCGCCACAACAGAGTGCGATTTCGCTCTCGCGCTGCTGTCGTGAACACCTCCCACTGGGCACTCGGGTCCCACGTTATTGTGCCGTTTAAATGAGGCTCTCGCCATGCTCGTTGGAGACGTGCTATCGACGAACTCCCGAGTTAGCGCTAGTTTTTCACCTTGACCTTCCGTGGCTGACATGAGCGAGTTCCCCTACTTTTTCGCCTTGGCTTCGTCCCCCCTAAATCAAGGGACATTTGCATTTCACTCAACAGCATTCACGTTTCAGTCCACACGGGATGGGGATCACAGCAAAAATCTGTTCTCACTCAGGTCAATAAACGGTCCAAACGGGATACTTGGTCCAATTCCAATAATTATAAAAAAACGGAATACTTGTTCTCACTCAGTCCAATAAACGGTCCAAACGGAATCGATAGTGAAAAACTAGCCTTAACCAAGGTGGAACCCTGCCCAATAGTCGCAGTCTTCGATCACCTGGATGGCAGAATCCAATTCCACGAAGTATCCATCCTTATTCGCCTCTAGCCTCGCGCTCGATGACCGCAAGCCACTAGGCGTAGTACCCACTGGAGGAGCGCTGGCTGCAGCTACGACTAATGGAAGTGGTCCTCCTGCTCCACAGCTTCTTCTCCGGAGAGCAGGAGCAGTGCCATCGACTGGGGAGCCGGCAAATGGTTGCGAATGCAGAGGAAACGATGGGGAGCAGGCATCAAAGGGTTGTAACGAGTCTCGACGACATTGTTGATAATCTGGTTCATGACGTCCAAGGATTTTGGATATGTTGGACAAAATGCTCACGAGGTCGAGAATCAATAGAAAGCAAAAAATACGAATAAACACAGGAAAACCTCCTAGAGAGACTATAATATGTAGGAACCAGCACGACGAGAAGCAACCGCCTTGGTGACAATGGCGAGCCCCTCGTCCCTTAGTTGATCGAAAAACCCGTGAAGAAGATGTACAGATTTTCGTTTTCTGGTGCTCAGCCATTTTCAAATTCAAACAAAACTATGGGCTAATAGGAATAAAGAAATTCAAAGTGATGTTTATTGTTAGTGTTTGTCTTGGTGTAGGTGCATAATCTCAAATGCTCCTCAAAACAAGATCCACGAGTGCTACCGCCGCAAACTTGCATAGCTCAGAATCCGATAGAGAACAAACATAAATTTCATAAAAATACAGAAACAGACTATCGTCCTACTCCTTCTCCTGAGACCCCTCAACTTGCTCTTGTAGGAAAACATCATCGCTCCCAGCACCAGACTCTTAATATCTAGCGTGAAGCCGGTCCCGGTGTTGGTGTAGGCAACTCCTAGCTCAGCTCTCAATGACATCGCGCTCGGCGATCCACCCGGCTTCTTCAGTATGCATCGATGTTGCAGCCTTTATATTATTTCGTTGCTACCAATCATCGTGAAATTCGATAGCATAAAAGGACATTGCGAAATTGTGGAAAGGCGATCAAATAGGAAAGTAGTCTGACTTCGCTTTCTGTTCAGTTCTATGTGTATTTATATGCGTGTAATGCACCTTCTACTTTTTATCTTCATATTCGACTATGACAAGTGAAATCTTAGTAAGAATGCACATTAAATAGATTGACCCTTGGGGTCTAGCTGATGGTCGTCGTCATGAGATATGGTTGTGGTTCTTTTATGGTTCTACTACTTGAAGAGTGGACATTTTCTCGTGTTCTTGTATCATGGGTGTCACTCCTGTACAACTACAAGGTACAATGAGAACTACGAAGTGTATTTGTACTATGAATGAGATGTTCTTTCAAATTCATGTCGTCCGTTCATCAGGTCAATTCTTTCTCAAGCTGTTGTACGTTTACTTTTTATAACGTTGTATGTACGACGTTTACTTTTTATAGATATAGATAACGTCGAGAAATACAAATACGAAAAAGTGTGGATAAAAGTTCTTCATCGAAACTTCAGATCATTGCGCAGAGCGCTAGTCAAGAGGTCACTAACAGAAAATTATGTTCTTGGAATGGTACTAGAAGGACTTTTCAGGAAACAAAATATGAAACAACCTAAAAAAGGACACCCTCCGTTTCCGTCCTCCTTCCAACCACCTCCGCAACTACTTACTTTCGGGACATGATCCCGAATAATAAACTACATATATTATTAAAGTTGTACTAGTCTACTGAATGGAGTAACATCTAACCTTCGATATCGAAGAGATCCGACGTTTCTCCGTACTTCATGGTGCTGTTGCGTGACGTCAGCAACTTCACGAACTCCGATCGGCGGTTATTAGCAATGGAAGTTGTCAATCACGTCATCTGTGCGTGAGTAATCGTACACACAGTCTCCACAAGGTACTTATATACGCGACTGTAATCGATTCCACTCACGGAGAGAATAAACTTCGATCAATGATCTTGGCAGACGCAGACCTAGTACTACTACAGCAACAACTACAACTACACCAGAAGAGGATCATCTTCATCATGATGTTGAAATAAGCACTCGAAGATTCGGTGAAATACAGAGCTTTTGTCCATAATGTATGCTGCATGTCCGCCATCGCGGCAGTAGAAGTCCCTGAGGAACTCGGTGTACTGCTTCATTCCTAGGTGGTGCACGGCGACATTGGGCACTGCGGTATCGCACGACTCCTTGCCATCCGGGAAGATCGTATCGGCGGACGCTTCCACGGAATGAAGCTGCTTCTGTACTAGATACACTGCTAGTTAGTAACTGTTGCTGTACGTCTCGTAGGTAAAGAGTCTCAGTAGAAGAACTACACGCTATGTATTCTACCTCTAGCATCTTCAAAGCCCCGGTCCTTTACTTCTATGTAACTCAAAAAGTCTTTGTTGAAATCCTCCATAATTTCCAGCGCCTTTGGAGATGTGGCACTTGCTTCCTTGGTACAGATAGTCCAGAGTGTATCCGAGGAGAATCGGGGTAGGCGAATGCTCCTCCTCCTCGTGATTGTTAGAAGGAGCAACTGAATGGAAATCTTTGAGCATAAGGGTTATTGTGGCTAGAATGTACGCATCATGATCATCTATAATCATCTACTCTACCTATGGCGGTTGTATTAAACAAGTAGGAGTAGCATCCTTTCATAATGCCAGACTTTGACGAGGAGAGCGCCACTGCGTCGTCGTCGTCCTGTTCACGGTTGTAAGATGCTTGTTATCATTTTTGTGCAGATGGTTTTGCAAGATAAAACATATTACATGTTTCTCTTTCTTCTTGTAGTTGTAGCAGAGCAATGATATTATTACGGCTTCTTCACATTCACATGATATTCGTAGAATTGGAACAAGAGATAAAGTTAGAAAGAAAACCTTTTTCTCCTCATCCTCTTCGTCTTTTTCCACAGGCTTTCCGAGCGATTTCTGCACTGCATCCTTGTATTCGGATGAGGCGCTGCCAGTGGAGGTCACAGTTGAGTACCAGTGTCTGTTATTAGACGTGGTAAGTAAGCTGCACGTAACTACTATTACTAACTTAGTCATAGTCTTCCGTCACCATCGATCTCCAAAAATGGGGAAGTGGAATTGCTAGTACAGCGGATGGTGCAAAGCACTGCATTTTTCAGTAAATTTGAAGAACGAGAAGACAAGAATGACAAACCATTTACATTCTGTCTGAGGTATGAAGATCAGGATTCCATCTTCAGCCATATCTCCGAGATTGCCTTGGACCCAACCACCAAGCTTCTCATCGTCCCATTCCATCCACTCCTTCTGGTCGCCGTTCATTTCTTCACCCTGACGCTTCAAAAGATCCTATGAAATGGGAAAGACAGTAGAGGGTGTCAATGGGGAGAGTCTGACAGAGCCGCGTTGGCGTTGGTCTAGTAAAATGCACTCATGGACGAGGGCAAGCGTCGTGTAAGTCAGCGGAAACTCAAACTTGTCTAGTAGACATTTCTACAACATCGTTGTAATATATTCAGAACGTCTCCCAGGATGAGTATAATATAACGATCGCCTACCTGGACTTTTTTAAGTACGTAGTTTTCTTTAGACTGTTACAACTCGGTTTTCATAACTCCTCCATCACGGTCGATGTCTGCTGCAGGAGATGCGTTCCTGTAGCCCCAAATCGGGAAATGAAGTTCTCGCTTGCTGCCGCAACCTGCGTGAGTATGTGCAAAGGGGACAGTAGCAAAGTATCCGAACAACTGCATCAGAGCAGAAAAAGTATAGGCGGAAAGAGATGAAATCCGCTCCTAGCTGAGTGAGTATGTTAGATGCCTGCAGAAAGAGAAAAGCCACTCCTCCTTACGTAGCGCGGTAGTGCTTGTCGTTCAGTCTGTTTAGTATTATCTTTCTCTCGTCGTGGCATTATGTTGTCTCCGCTGTACACATGCACAAGCACATCTTGTTCTTGTTCATGTTCATGTTCTTCATGGAGTCGGAAGTTGTATGGTTCTGGTATTTGGTAACCTGAACCTGATCACAAGGGTTCTCTTCTTGTTTTCCCTTATGATCAAATTCAGGTGACCAAATACCGGAACCATTCAAAAGTGCAACTACAAGAAATGGAAGCACTTCATACTTTTACTTAGACATAGTAGTAGTACTACCTTTTCCTTCTCCCCATGACTCTCCCGACGCAACAGTTGCACCTCGCTCTCCGCTGTGGCTGCGGCAGCAGAGTGCGCAGACCCACTCGCATCTTTTTGCTCCGGAAATCTTAGAAGAAGATTTTCAAGTTCAACTTTTTAGTACGAAAAACTAACCTAAGTACTAGCATTGTAGGTACCACCAGCATCTTCGCAGGTTAATTCTTTTACACTAAGCACTAGAGCTGGATCGACCACACTCGAATGCTGATGTTACTGCACGAGTAGCAGTACTGTTATTTCCTCTCCCACTCCCTCCCTCCATAAGACTTCCTTCTTCACCTCAACCAGCTTCGTAGACGTCGGCACTGATTCCTTGAGCACTTCAAGAAACTGTTTCTTCCTGCCGCCAAAGTTCGTCATGTGTTGCAGGTAGCGGTTGCCAAAAGGCGCGTTCTTCTTCTGGCCGCCACCAGTCTGGAACGAATCCCGCAGCATCTTTACGGAGTAAATTCTAGGTTAGAGGGTGCGGAGGGCTGGACGTCTCAGAAAAGTTGCCATAGGCAGCTCTCGTGCACAAACAAGAACATTGACATGCTTCAGAATATACGACAGCACACATCAACTCCAACTACATGTGTCAGCGATTATTAGTCTTGCTAACCAATATGGCGCCGTAATTTCCCGGACCACCGCATACACCAGCACAGCCATGGAGCGTGATCAAGCTCGGCACTTTGTGCGGATCCACTAAAGTGCCTGACTGCTCTTCGAGCTCCACGAATGACGGTGATACGCTCTGTAAGATCATAATCATGTGGTTTTGATGTTTTTATACTTCTGCTTAGCTCTTCCTCTTCTACTTGTTCATGTTTGTTAAAGAAAAATTACAAACAAGAATCTGTAACTTAGTATGGAAATATTGACATAAGTATGAAACGAAAAAGTGCACTCACACTCAAAAAATTGGCTAGGATTTAAGTAGGAAAGTAGCCACTTTTTTTGAGTGTGAGTGCACTTTTTTCTTTCATAATAAGTAAGTAGTTGCACAGATGATGAGTTAGGATGACACTTTGATGCTATGAGTTTCAGTAAGTAGTACCTTCGGTCCCACAGACAGCATGCTTCTGGCCATCATTTTTTCTAGGTGGGCAGGGTGCCACATTGTGTTACCGTCTCCGACTGCGAGCCAATTCAACGCAGGCTTGCTTCGGGATTTAGAGATGGTTCTATCATTCAAACGTCATGTGCAAATCAACTACTTACAATAACTACTCTGCCGTACTAATCCTCATCCTCATCGTAGAAAGGAGCTTATCTTTAGTTACTGTGACTATGTTGTAGACAACGATGTTCATATTTCATTATGATGATCGTTTTTTTCCAGGAGAAGGAGATGCATGTCTCAGATAAGCATGTTAAACATATTGCAGATTTCTTGAAGGCTTAACTCCGTCCGAGTTGGCTTGACGAAGGCAACGGCCGACCAACATCGGAAAAAGCATGAAGCGGATCGACGCCAACGCTTTGCCAACTCCCTCCGCCTGAGCTTCCGGTTAATTAGAAGAAGATCAGTCGCTCCCGTAGGGACCATAGGAATCGTTCTTCCTCACTGTCGTTCAAGTTCCTTTATTTCATCACAAATAAATATCTATATCATGTAAGTTGCAAACTCTAGTACTCCTACAGTGCGACGAGGTCATAATCAAGATAAGCGCTGTGCCGTCATCGGACGTCTGACCCCGCAACTCGGTAAGAAGAGCCGCTAGCTTCGTGGATGTAAGACCCCGTGGTTCTGCCTCCTCCTGCAAAAAAGATGCTGAAGACGAGCTCCCAATACCTCCTTCTTTCTGCTTGGCATTGTAGGCTCGCAAAAAAATTTCGGCATTGCGAATCGACATGACCTCGCGTTGCGACAGCTCGTTCGTGACCACCTCATCCTGGCTGTTAGAGGGAAACAAGACTATGTAAGTTTTTGAGAATCAGGGTGATACTGATAGATATCGCGCCTATTCGTATCGAGGATGATACTGATAACTAACAGTTCTTAGCCTACAAGGTGATCGCGTTCCTATTCCTAAGTACCTACTGCAGACCAAAGACGAAGGATCGATCTTGCTTCCAAAACAAATCAAGCAGCCCTAACAGAGGCAGCATCCGTCTCCAGCAATGCGCTATTCTCCATCTTGAAATTCAGCGTGTCCTCAACCAGATCGCTCGTGCGGACATATTAGAGCAGAGTCGCCTGTTTCCTGTTCATGCCCTTGCCACAAACTCCACGTGGTGGCCTTCCTAGTCTAATCGGTGTGTTGCCTTGAGGAAGAGGAGGTGGCTGAGCGCAGGGATGCGGACGGGACTCGCAACAAACCAAAACTAGGAAGCAGAAAACTACTCGTAATTGGTAGCACAACCAGAGGTGATATTTTTTGACATTGTAATTATCAAAAAGAACATCAACAGTAACAAGATACTGTTGATTTTTTTTTGTAAACTTTCTTGTTCATCAAACTCAACACGAAAACATCATTCTTCACGACCATAAATCATGTAAAGCGGGCCGTCTTTTTGCGATTTCGAGAGTTTCTGTTCTTCCTCAATCCCCGCAAAGACTGCATACCCCATACTATTTTGAACCGCATGGTTAAGCGAAAAGTCGTACCTGGTAAAGAACACAGTCGATGAATCAGCATAAGAGTAGGAGGTGGAGAAGGAAAAATATTGAGAATAACCAGAATCTTTATTGTTCGTTCTTGGCGAAGGCGAACAAAAACAAACTTGATCTACTTAAACAACTACACTTACACTAAATGGTGTTAGAGATGCAAAAAGAAACATCAACTACAACGAGTGCGACTCCTGTACTGTAACAGTAACTCTTTATTAAATGTAACGACTGTATTGCTATTGTTTTTGTTTATCGTGTCACAGTACCAGTTCGCTCGCTCCTCGTCGTGATAGGCATCTCCCGAGTAGGTGTTGTGAGTAAAAAGTAGAGAGTTTTTCTCGAGCATGGAGTAAAATTTCTCATTTCCGTTTCCTCACTTCTGCATGCACTCCTTGAACGGAGACGAAGATACACGGACAACCTCCAGAGAAGCAGAGGCGGCAGATGACTTATCTGACCGCAATGCCGTTACAGCCATTACTGACGTCGGGAGCACCATGGCGAGACACCAACCGAGTTGAAGTCCAAGCTTCTGTGAGGTAAATCCGCTATCGCGAAAAAGTCGCTGATGTTGGGGTGTCGCAACCCCTTGTTCCGGGAAGGCAGGCATGGCGTTCTTTTTCAGTCCCCTACTCCTTGAAGGAATGGTCGCAGGCTGTCTAGGTCTATAGCTATGACCCAACACTGTGTAAGTCAGAAAGGAAATTAAGCATAATTACATGATCGAGATGAAGGCGAGCAGATTAATGAAGAGTGTTTATCATATCTTTTTTTGCTGTATTCATTTGAAAAACACAGCTCTCCTCTTCGCGTTATGCGTCTCTCATAGTCATCAATCTACTTCTCTCCTACGCTCTCAACCTATGTATGCTCCTTTGTTTTGTGTCGACGCGACAGAGTGAGAGGAGGTCCTCAGCCTCATGACTAGTCTGCTCATTCCTCATCGAGGGGTTGTAGGTGACCACGAACTAACTTAGCGCTGCCTTTTCTTTGGAGACGTGCGCTCTGCAGTGCAGTGCAATTTGAATTTTCTCTGTGAGAGCACATCGCCCCGTGGCGCATCTTCACTGAATAAGAATATTCATTTTCTTCACGCATCTGCAAAGTTTGTTGATCAGAGAATGAGTTTGAGTGTGTAGTTTGAAACAAGAACAGAGTGATGATGCATGATGATGATGAGGGAATCGGAACTGTAGTAAATTCATTGTTTGAGTAGACACGCAGAGACACCTGAGTGCCTGATTTTCAGAATCAATGTTTTGCTAGCAACGACAAAGTAGGTTCATCTCCATCAGAGCGCACGGCACCAAATGAAGCTGTCTAAACTTCCTCCAAGACGCGTCCTCACTAGAGGAAGCCTGGCGCTACCGATAGGCCTGGATCCTCCGCCATCTTGCATTTACACCACTGAGGATGCATTCCGTGTCTTAGAGGTGTCTGCTAGAGTCAAGCGTTACTGGCGTGCGTCTTCCTGCTCGGGAACAAGGTGGTGTTTTACAAAAAAAACCAACAGATCTATCTTCTAGTGGAAGATAGATCTGTTTGTATTTCTAGAAACTGCCAGAGCAATCTCAATGTTGGTGATCATCTGGGTTTTTCTTTCGATTTTTTGATATGGATATCGATCCTATATGTCTCTGCACCTGCATAGACGAGAAAAAACTAAGTACACTCACAACGACGACCACAAGCTGCTGGTGCTGCAAAAACAGTCGTGTCGAAGGCACAAAACAATGATCATAACTTGCGTTTCATCGTTGCTTCATCCATGTATTTCAGTATGCACTGACTGTAGTGCCCGTAGACCGTCACCTCCGCTAAGTGCCGTATATCAACGCGACCACTGTCCAGCATTATCACAGCCGAATACTGAAACTTTCGCACACCAGGGGATGCACTTGCGCGGGATGACGTCGTCGGAGCAGTGGTTGCTTTAGAGCAGGAGGATCGATTACAACGATAACATGAACTACATTCTCAAAAAATACTAGTAGAAGTAGATACTGCTGTACAACAATTACTCTCGGAGCCACTGCGACTAGCACGATGTATTAGAAAAATAGATAGATTAATAAGCATAACCTTCGTCCCCATAACAACGACGGTCCCATTCGAGGCTCTACCACCAGGAGTATCAGCAGGACCTGCGCCCACAGGAACTGTGAACTCGACGATTACGTTGACGGTCGCACTGTCAATAACTTTTCTGCTCTTCTTTTCTTAGAGCTACCATGTCGCGCCGTCAGCCCAGAATCCCAGACTCCTTTTTCCTCTTGAAAAAGGGGCCAAGGTCTGACCTCTTGAAGGTCAAGGATAGTATTGAGGATGTGTCAACAGCGGTAGTCATAATTGTCTCTGGTTTCAGCAGGTCTCACGAGCGCTGACGACGACTGCAAGACCTGGCAATACTTATTGTCTGGTTCGGACGTGAAGTCCAGATCGCAAATCTCTTCCGGATTCTCCACTTTCTCATTGTCGTCCATTCGCTTCAATGCCTGAGAGCAGAATCGTCGTTGATAGCGTGGTCGAATTCATTTTGAGGGGCAGAAACATGCTGATAGCCATTGATGGTTGTGAGCGACGGAGCAGCACCAACGAACAATTATATAAATATTTATAAATATGAATACCAAGAACGAAGTACAACTCAGTTGCTAGCAGAAACATATTCATTACAGGTAAGTACGTCAAACACAAACTCAAATGGAAATGCAGCGAATGGAAACAAGAAGAATATGAATAACAACGATGATGAAAAAACTGTAGTACACTTGGTGGCATATCGCCGATTTGAATTTGTCGCATCTTGAACGCATGAAACCCCAATCGATAGTATTTTATCCTCTCCTTTACTACGTCGCAAAAGCTCTTCTTCATTGCTGGCGGCCACTCGAAATGCAGTATCGACTGCAGAGACCATTCTGAGGGTATGTTTGCTCCTTGGAGGAAAGCTGAATGTTCGTCAGCTGCTTGTATTTCGCCCTCCAAGTGGTCCTCGACTACACCTTCTACATTGTCGGTACGTGGTACAGGAGAAAGAGTTCCAGTTTCTTGAGTGGAAGTTTCAAACTCGTCCTTTCTCGGTTCGCTGGCTTTCCCGGTCACAAGAGGATGCAGAATATCGTAGATGTGGTGCGGGCGTAGGTTAGAGACACAATATAGTACATAGTTCAACACTCCTCTTGCTCAAGTTCATATTTTGCAATGTGTTGACCTTGACGCTAGGTAACCAGGTACTGACCCAGAAGCTGAAACTAAGAATCTAGATCTACCAAGAGGCTGATAAAAAACCACGCTTAATCAAATGCCCTTGCGCTGACCGCGCAACTAGTTCGTCCTCAAGCTTCCGTCCCAGCTCGGTTTGCGCAAGTTTCGTCACCAAAACTGGATTCCTGTGATGAAAAGCCGCGAGTTCCACGAAAGGCGTGACTGGTGGTATTCTGCCGTGATCGGAACATAAGACCAGGTTTGTATTCGGGTGGCGGAGAAACGATTAGCGGAGGGCAAGAGAAGAAGGGGGATCGAGAACAGTATCCACTTGTCACGACACGCTTAAATATTTTTGCAGTTATATACTAGTTTTAGTCTTTTAGACTTGGAGAAGAATATCAACTTCAAAGTAAATAACCTGAACAAGAACACCGAGCCAATGTGCCCTACTACAATTCCCGCAAAAAGTCGCGAAAGAACGTGTCGACATTGTTGACCACCGGCGCTCCAGGACGATATTTTGGATGCAGCATTGTGTGTCCCTCGTCGAAGAAGGCCACGCCAAACGCTTTTTCATCATGGAAAACGTCGAAAAAGTCTAGCATATCCTCGAATAGAAGTCGCGAAACCTGTCCTTCCGCCTCCAATGCTATGTTAGACTTTGCGATTGGAGGGCGGTCATCTGAAGGTTGCCGTGGTTGGCTCGTTTTCCCAGAAGACATGGAGGTCGCTGCAACCTTTTCGGAACCGATTTCGTTACCCAAGCTCCGATGCACTTTTTCCTGGCCGCCTCCGAAGTAGTACCCCGCGCCAGTTTCGGTAGGAGCGAGATGCAATACCTGCTCGCTTGTCGCCTTGTCATAGCACAATTCTTTAGAGAATGAAGCCGGTGGACATGATGTTGGGGTGAGTGGTAAAGGTGAAGCCAGTTCGTCAAGATTGAAAGAAGAGTTGGTCGTCTGGCAGGTGTACAGCTTCTACAACTGGAGTTCCGTTCTTCACAACCTCATTCTCATACATCGAAAATGAATGAAGAAGACAAGTTGTTCCAACAGTAATACTCCTCTGGTAATCTTCACGAGCATTTGAAAAACAAGCGTAAATGAGTATCCGTTTGACGATCTGCATTCAACGCCTTCTGGCCACTCGCCGCGTTCTAAGAGGGAGAGTAGCTGTTCGCCCTCTTTTTCTTGGTCGCTCCAGACATGCCTCGCGTCTATCTTCGTGCTCGTCTTTCTCGCAAGTGATGTACTGCTGTGAGGGCTCTCGAGTACAAACATCGTATTGGCGTTTGTTGATGAACCTTCAGAGGATCCGCCTCTTGTTAAGGTTTTCTTGCCGTTGGTAAATCTCGCCGTGGACGGCGACATTCCTGACGAAATACCACTGCTAGAGGGCAACGGCAAGGACGATGTAGAAGTTGACTCTACGCCACCTTTCCCGGATCCCTTGGCGCTAGAAGTGGTCGGTAAGGGAAACGATCCTGCCTCTGCTTCCACACCAAGACCGTGTCCCCAACGTTTGAAACTGCGAAGTCGCACAGCAGTGCCATTTGCGAGGGTCGCGTTGTACGCGGGTGAGACGACCTGTGTCGCGTGCCCGGTTGAACACCATCCCTTCACTGGTGACCACGTCCTGGCCGCGTACTGGCTACGCAGCTCTGCGAAATGCATCCGGGGTATGAAGACAGGGAGGGAGATGTGCGTCTAGTTTGATCTGAAGGACAAGGAAATGTAAGTCTGAAGTTGAAGTACCTTCATAGTACCCATCGATAGATGGGAATGAATCTAAGAAGAATCATTAGCAACACTTTGTTTACGTGTTCGATTTCAAAAGGAGGAGGAGGCCTTCGTCATAGTCATCGCAGTTCACGTTCAGCTATCTCAAAATCAATAGATATACAAAATCAATAGCTATACAAGAGTCCCTAAAATATGACATGCAGTAGCATTTCTGGAACCGGGTATGAAGGCTGCAGTCGCATCCGGCGAAAGTTCTGAATCCGTTCTGGTGTGCGAGACTGAGAATGTGCCTTTTCTTGTCTGTCCAAACATCTCGATCTCGCCAGAGCTTCTGCCCAGTGATGTTTGCGCCAGGTCGCGCTGGAAAGGGTAAACCGTGAGCCATTGGATACTGATTCAGAGGGCTGTTTGGACCGACGACGTTGAGAGTTAGAGATGGAGCTCGAGCTCGAGTAGGTTTTGCCAAACATAAATTGATGATCATGATCTCGTCTTGAGAAACTACTGCAACTCATTGTTATCACTCAAACTCATGGCTTTTGAGAATTATATATAAGAAGCACGCCGTGAAACCCTTACGGACAAGAAGAAATGATCTAAAAAATACTGAGTCTTAGTTGTCTAAGACGCGTATCATAAGAAATTGTCGAAAACAGTCGCGTTGAGCTTCTGCGAAAGATACAGCATCGATTTCGGAAGCGACCGAAGGACTTCCCGAAAAGACAGCATGTCGAGAATAATCAGCAGGACTTTGTCCTTGCTATTCCTGTCGGTTTTATTACGCGCGCTTTCCTCGTTTCCAACTGCTTCCGCAAGTCCTTCTGATGTCCGTGCGGGTTTTTTAGGCTGGTCTTTACTTCCTTCTACTCGTTCTTCTTCTAGCTCCATCTCGCGACCTCTGTCGACATCACGCTCTCTCTTCTGGAGAGCAGCTTCATTCTTCTCGTTTTGACGACCGTCTCCAACCATGCTTTTCCGCGTTCTACCATTTACGAGAGCACTTGGATGCAGCTTGCCTGAACCTTGAATTAGAGATCATCATAATCGTTGGATCTTGGATGCCTCATCTCCCTTTCCCACTCAGCTGTCCCTGCTGTATTTCTTCCTCCTCAAAGGAGGATTGAAAAGAACACGTGGGTAGTTCCTAGAAAGACTGAGACATGGGGCCGTACAAGAAAGCATCGGCTCAGCTTCGGTCCTTGCTTTTCTGGCGGTGTAAAGAGGCCTTCCATCATGCAGCCATCCTTCCGATGCTTCAGCTCAGCCTCGTATCCATGAACGATGAACGAGAGAGGATTGCTCTTGGACGAAATGATAAACTGAAGCCGTTCCGATTTCGACATCAGGCTTCATGCTACTAGGGGTTGCTCTTCCGAAGAATGTAGAGCAGGTAGATGAACATAGGACGCGTTACAACGTTGGAGAAGTTCGAGTTTTCAGCAGCAAAAAACGTGCGTTCACTTGCTAAACTACGACTACGTCTACGCGAAAGCCTTGCCATACTTGAGTTTCTTGACATCGTCGTCCATCTCCAGGAAATCTTTCACCGAGTGCAGACTTAGCGTCGTGTGCAGTCTAAATATAATGACGCAGTCATGATGTGTTTAATCCTGGACGAGTATTCAACTCGTCCTGGTCCTCGACGATGACAGATAAAAATTGGCAACATTCATTCTGGCATGTCGTATAAAATGTTGTCAAAGTAGAAGCCTTAACAGTCTTTGCCTATGGGCGCGATCGTCGCGGCAGAATTTCCAATCATGGTCGAAGAAAAAAGCCTCATTAGGATTCTCGTCTTCATGATCCCAGGACTCATGCTCTTCGAAAAACACTGCAAAATCCGAATCGCCGCCCTTCGGAAAGTGTGCGTAGTCAGCCGCAGTTGGTCCGTCTTCAAGATCTCCATGTTCAACATCGTCTCGTTTTAAAGTCGAAACGGAGGTTGACGTTATTGCGTCCGACCTTGACCCCGGTATACGTATACGACTTGTATGTTGGGCAGGAACAAGAGCTCGAGGAGATTCAACGTGGTAAGAAGCCAGATCGAGGAAGTCGTGCGAAGCCTCGTCTTTGGTATGAAAACGTAAAGGAAGAACGAAGATGCTCGTGCTTCTACTTCTGTACTTTTCTAAGATTTCATACGCAGCTCGTAAGCATAGACGACACTGCTCTCGTCGCGAAGATGAAGTACGTAAGTAATCCTATTCAGTCCAACGCATCACAGCATACACATGAATGCATTGAAAGACCAAGCACTTCATACCTTGGAAGGTCTAAACCTAAGGCTCGCGCAGCCACAACACGATTTCTGTGCTTCATCTGCTCGAGAGATAACCCCCGCCATGCCGTAGCCTCTGCAAAAAGGAGAAAGCTTCGTGGAGTTTTCTGTCGATTGAAAAGACGCTCTGCAACATCTTCATCACACGGCGGCGCGGCGGCCGCGGCTTGCCGTCGCTCTGTGATTGTTCGACGACGAGGCGACCCACCACTTGGTCCTTTCTTTGCGGGAAAGTCATGCTGTGGGCGATCGCGTCGATAATTGCGCCACCCTGCTTCTCCTAGTCGCAGCCCCCCTTGATTATCTTCGCAGGAGCCAGTCGTGCCAGTCTCCACGTCAGACCGAAGATAGGAGATGTTGTTGCGCAAATACTCACAACACATCAAAATGAAGACGGACGTCTGAAATCGTAGCAGCGTGGTGAGCATACCGCTACCGGCTGCACGAAGCGGCATCGCCGTGCTCCACTTCGACATTATCGTTAGATCAGCGAGCGTTGGTCTTCACCTACCGAAGCAAAGTGCCTCTACGGCAGCGACTCCGCTGGCGACTGCAAATCCCGCAAGAAGGGAAAGCATTTTCTTCTCCACCTCCTTGAGAAAAGCCCTTCTAGGGCAAGTAATCTGTTTCGTTGCCCATTCAACGAAGTGCAATGTCGTCCCACCGGGGCACAGACAAGTCAAGCACTAGCAGAAGCATCGCAGCAAACGGAATCGCCCATTTACGAGCCGAGGAAAAATCAACGACATTGATTGGCACTGCAAGAACTACTACTGGTGTATTCTCGACAAGTTCATATCAATACGTGAACCACCAACAAAAACTATCGAATCAATTTAGTGGAAGACAGAGCTGCATAGGATCAGCTTCATTTCGGAAGGTGGTAGCATCATCCTACGTGTTGAGCTTTTAGAGATCCCAGGTCTCAAGTACAGCATACAGGAGCTACCTAAGGAGCACGTATGTGCCACTGCACGGCATGTGGAAGAATGTGCCATGTCAAAATCGAAAAATGCCTCAGTTGTGCTGAGAGGTGAAGAATCGAATGATTGTGATTGAGTTGTTCGCTTGTCTATCAATACAAGACAGAAGGCATATCAAGTATGCTTTTCCAGCGTAAAAGAGAAGAAGGTGTCTGTCCCAAAATGTTTGCCATCTTGCGACTCCCACCTGGCCGCGTGTGGCTTCTTCTAGTATACTAAATGCTTGATAATGCCGAAATTATCGTGTTCGAAATTCGCACACGTCCGCGTATCAAACACACAGGCTGGGCGCGTCCCATTCTCCTCCCGCAGCAACAATCCTTCGTCAAGTATGAAAAAGCAAAAAAATCCTACCACGACTACTAAGCAGAAAAGCATCATTAACTTGAAATCTTCACAAAGCTCTGTAAGTGGTCTCTGTAATAAATAGAGTCTTCTAAGTACTTAAAAATATATGAAACCTAGAAAGCGTCATCATACTTCTCGCTATAATTGGTGATGATTTCCTATTCCTTGTCGTAAATGTGTCGTATGCATGACATGGTAACGCCTCCATGTCGTGGGAACCGGGCCAACCTCGCACTTTCCCACCACCTTGCATCCAGGTTTCGGCAGCTAGGCTAAACGAGACCACCTCCATGACCCTATAGCGTGCATGCTTGTCGTGCTCGCAAACGTACTGAATCAAACGATCTCGAGAATGGAAGACAAAGGCCTCAGATGTGACGGCGACCGCACTAGTGCTTGTTGTACTAATATTTGTTGGAGATAGGGTCGCTGTCGGAGTACTATTTGCCTCTGCGGTCTGGACGTGGATGTGGTTTGGATCAACCAATCCGGAGGCCCTTCTTGTCTCATTCTGAAGTCGGTTAGAAAGTCCTTTAGGACTAGAAGGTCGAGTTGTAGTTATGCTTCTACCGGCTTGCTGTTGCCCCCTCGATCCCGAAGATTCCAAAGCCCCTACAGCTGCGCTGTGGCTTTGTGACAAAAAGGAGAAAGATGCGTATCCGTGTGTGGGAATCCATGAACGCAGAGTCAGAAAGTTCCGAAACTGGTGCGGTTCGTGGAGTTGGCGATGACGGTTCTTCCATCTTTGAATCGTTGCACCCACATCCGCCAAACCGTGAAAACATTCGTATTTTGCAACTCTGTACTGAAAGAAGCGTAGGAAAAGCAAAAGCATCTTTTCGGGCGAAAACCAAACCGAGCGGGGAGGAAAAAGAGCATCTTCATCTTGATCTGTGTACGTAATTTCGGCGGGAGGTGGCATTATTGGCGAGGAGCCCGTGTGATCTGGAGCAGCCCAGATGGCGACTGCTTGCTCCAGTTTAGCCAGAAAAAGCGGATTGAGATGCTGGCGCGGAAGATGATGAGCCCTGCTGCTCGTGCTGGATGAACTCATCCTCAAGAGATTCGCAAGTCTACTTTTTCCCCTATTTTTTCCCGTCCAAGTGACCCTCTGAGCAGCGTCATCAACAGCACTCAGGTCATTTTCATGACTTCCGCTGGCTCCATCATCTCGAGCGCCTGCGAAACCAACCTCCGACTTATGGCTTTCAACGCAACCTGCTTTACCAACACCCGCATCAGCGTTCTTGCTGCAAAAACTCGCTCTACTCCTAGCGCTATTCTTTTTTCGTCCTCGTGTAGTCCTCGACGTATGATCCGTTATACTTATAGGTTGTAGCACAGCAGCTGAAGGATTAGGTGCAGCAATCCCCGGACTCCCGACATCTTCGGCGGACCACTGAAACGAAAAAAAATTCGTCTGCTCCGTGTTCCTGATAGAGTTCGTGGCACTTTCTTGCTTAGGATGATCCGTAGTTTCCGCTCCCGTCTCTGCAGCAAAATTCTTTTTGACATCAACAGCTTGAACTTCGTCCGCCTCCCGTCCTTCCCTCGATAGCTGGAGGAAAGTCGCTGGGCCCATAACGGAAAACACCGATCCAGCGAGATACCACAGTCCGCGCTGCAAGATGTGAAGGCCTGTGAGGAGGCCACGCGCTGTGAGTGTTCGGACGTTTAAACCGTCGTAATCGTGACAGTGTGGGACGAAGACGTCGAGACTGCTTTCGAGACTGCTTCCTCTCCACGCTTCTGAAGTCGCATGCTCAGGAAACAGAAAGTCAAGTGGAAAGTGCCGCTTTCCCCACACAAGATCGTTGCGCGTGAATATAAGCACTGCATCGCGACGAACTTAGAGCTACCAATCCGTATGGGTCCCCGAGAGTGAGGTGAAGAGGGCAGATCAGCTGCTATTAAGCCAGATTTTAGACGGGAAGCTTCTTCTTCTTCGTCACATTCGCGGGTAGTTCTGAATCTAAAAAGTAGAAAGTGTACTTATAACTCCCTTTCGGTTTGACTCATAAAAGTAAGCTTCTCCACCGCGAGTTCGAGTTGAGACGCCCTTTATATTATCTCCGTTTGCTGCAACTCTTCCCGCGGTGTGGAAGACGATCTGCGACAGTCGAACCTCATGGGCAAAGCGCGCATCGGCAGAGCAGAGGTCTTTGCCATGCGGACAAGAGTACAGCAACAGTGACCGCAACTGACGGAATACATTCTGGACGAGGACACGACTCTTGCCTACTTCGGAGGAAGGTGACTTGCGAGTCTCCTCTCGGTCTCGCTTTCGCTTTCGATTGATCGAAGTCGAATCTTCGCCGGCAGTTCGTTGATCGTGATGTTGTCCTTCGGAAACGTGAGTGTCGCTGCTGGGGGCCGCTCCCGCGCGCGACCACTTAAGCCACACTCTGCGAATCAATGCGAGGATGGCTTGTCGGTTTTCCCGCAAAATCGGTGCCCAGAGAGCGGCTCGCAGATACAGAACTCCACACTTTCGCTTTTGCTCTATGCTCTGCACGCGATTCTCAGTGCCGATTGCGCGCCAGCGTCGGACATATTCCTTTGCGGATTTCAACAGAAGAGAAACATCGCTGCCACTTTTCTCAGCAAAATTATCTTCGCTGGATTCAGACGTAGATCTGATCGACTTCTCCTCACTCTCATCCTGAGATTCGATCTCACTCTGCTGTATGAAAGTCGACTCTTCACCTCCTTCTTTCCGTTTCGCTCTCGTCCCCCGAACGAGTCTGCGAAAAATTGTCCCGAAAACCCAATGCCGCCAATACCGGGTAGCGAGAACAGCCCCATTCTCCTCTGGTTCGTCAATGACACGCCACGGCTGCATGCGCACTCCGAGGGCTTTCGAGTACACTTGCCGTAGCTGCATTTGTCTACTATTTCTCGGAGAAATAGGCGTAGTAGACGACCCCAGCACGGCTTCATCTTTCGTCGCAAATAGCGTCAGGCCTTGGAAATTTATCTTTTCACTTTCCGCAGAAGCAGACGTCGAAATAGATGCTGCATCCGATGAATCTGCGAAAGGTCTGCCTTTACCGTAGTCGGATGACTCCGAAGATTCTACTCCATTGATTGAAGCTGCAATATAGTCTTCTAGGTCCTCCGTCTGCCAGGAGCTTCCCTTCTGAAAATTTGCAACAAAAGTGTTTTTACCTGTCTCACCTGTAGCTCTGTTGATGACGACACGAGCTTTCCTATTAACCACGACCACAGGCTCTGCAACATCGAGAGGCAGTGATTAGAAACACACAGAGATGAATGCTGGAGGAGAGCATATGCTTATGCTTGATGCTATTCTAAATCTCTCGTGCCACAGGCTGCTCATCATCCAGAAGATTAAGCCGTAACGCAAGACATGATCCGCAATCGTCTCTAACGCTTCTGGAAGGGTCCGCGCGGCTGGTCCCTCGACACAGAGGACGGCACGACGCCGGTTTCTAACACCCGAAGTCGACTTGTTGGCAGGAACAGGAGATTTGATATTGATGACGAAGTTTATGAGCGCCGCCACGATCTGGAATAGCAGGTCTACGGGAGACGCTTTTTTACTCAAACTAGCAGTTGTTGCCGTTGAGGAAGTATAAGTAAAAGAGTTGCTCCTCTGTTTGCCCCTTTCTTCCTCCACCGTAGACGATGAAGAGTCGCTTGCCCGCTGTACAGCCTCACGCAAAAAAGTTCGCTCTTCTTCTGCCTCAGTTGTCGGGAGCTGGGCCACTGCTTGCTGTTCCTTGCTCGACTTAAGAGTCTCCTCCACGCCACTTTCACCAAGCTTCTTCTTCTTCTTGCTCTGCATCATTATCGCTGACCCTACTGATGAGCCGGCTTCTTCTACAACACTGAACTCCGGAGAAACTATTTGCGAGGTTCCGTGTCGGTGGCTGTGTCTCTGGTAATTGTTCTCCTCAAGCCGCCAGGGATGCATCGCGCTCAGCTCAAGTCGCCGCTGGATCACCCGTCCCTCCACAGCGCGTGTCCGGGAGTCTCCTGGGGCACAAATCTTGACCCCTGTCCACCCGAGTGAGGAAGATTGTTCTGACCATGATGCGAAAGCGGATTTAGCTATAGAAGATGCGGCTTTCGAAAAATCGAACTCCAATCCATCTGACGTAGCCCAGAGTCGGCAATCTCCACGAAAGCTGTTCTTGAAGAGGCGGTAGGGAATACTTCTTGTACTAGAAGTTGCACTTCTAGTTCTAGATAGAGGTTTACTACTTGGTGTTCGTCTGCCCCTACCACTGCCTGCTCCTGGTCTACTACCGTTAGTATAGCCGTTAATGCCCTCTCTATGCGAAGGTATGAAAGTCCAAAACGAACACTCCGGTACGCTGAGACATGTTAGCGCACAGAGATTCATGCTCAGCAATCCACGGGGAATGCCGCTTGTTTCCTGCAAGTAGGTCACGAGCATCTCATGGCGATCCACGATTCCTCCTTTGTCGTGGCTATTTTTCCCGGGTACCATTGACGAACCTGTTGCGAGCGCTCCGGACGAGGGCACTGGAGATACTGCAAGTACTGCTTCTTGCTGAGCAGGGTTGAGATTTTTCAGGGGCGTCGGTTCTGAGCGTCGCAATGTCGAGAACTCTTCTAGGTGCGAAGGCTCTTGTGGGTGCGAACCTGTTGTTTCTCCCTTCTCGAACTCAAAATAATCCTTCTCGCCTTCTGCTAGTGTTGCATTTGGACCAGTTCCCAACTGCGACGTCCCTTTCTCCTCTCGACGACTGCGATTTCCGTAAAGTTTCGGGATACTGTAACCGACTTCACTGCGCAGAGGCACGACATTGCCAGCAGCCTTCAATCGATGAACCAAGCCGCTCGGCCATTCCTCATTCTCTTTATCCAGCACGTTAGCGGTAGTGCGATTGCTACATCTATCCGATGCGGGCCGCGCAGCTACGCGAGCTCCTATTATGGCGTCCGGATCATTCCCGTCTTGCTCTGTAAGGACGATGCCAGCTTCAGATCCAGCAGCATTACTAGAAGTTCCTGAAGTGCTCGCCCATGACTCTTCCAGTGCAAGTGGATGACGTTTACCACTAGCACAGCAGGAGTCGGCGTGGTAATTGATATCCAGCCGTCGCTCGTAGTCGTGGAACGGATACGAAGTAAGAAGAGTTCTCCGTAATTCGTCGATTAGAATGACCAACCTAGTGCTACTTTGTTTCTACAAGTACAACCGCATCTCCTTGAGAAAGCTAGGGAGTCTGCAATTGAAATTATTATCATGTTGGTGTTTTCTTATTCTTAGACTATGGATGGTCTCACGGGTCATAATTCAAAATCCATGCGTACTGCGCGACCGATCTGTCCAATATTGCTCACGCGGAAGCTGTGCACACAATCCGGGTACGAGCCTGACCTTGTGATTTCAATTTTTGTTTAGTTTTCTTGTATGCAATTTACCAATTACAACTAGGGTTATGGTATAATCAATCTTAGAACGGCAAGCTACTATGGCGAGCAGTAGAACTTCTCTGGTTATGGTATAATCGATCTTGACGATCTTTATCATCAATATTTGTTTCTCTTCATGTTGCGCACTGATTGATTTCCACCTGTAGGCTGTACCTGTAGAAAGTCTAATAATCTAATAGAAGTGTAAGATCTATACGTCTTCTGATATTTCGGAGTTTGACTGTGCCGTGTTGACCGTAGTCCGCGCTCGCCGATATATCCCGACCTGAGGCGTCCACGATGCTCCCGAGGGCGTTCTCATCCACATGCCCGTCTAAATTCCGGCCCAACGCTGGTTCTGCAGCTTTAGAACTTTCCGTGTGTTCGAGGTTGGTGATGCTTTATTCTTGACATGATAGATTGACACTGACATACACCTTGATATGAAGAAGCGGTCCTATTTTTGGCTCCGCCTACTTGTTCAAGGAGAAACTTGATGCTGAGCTCCTTCAGTTACGTTCTTACTTAGTTAGCTTAGGCCTAGCCTTAAGCTTGAGTTCTGCAATGGAGGTGGAGCCTTCTTGTGAGCCCTGTCGTGGAGCAGCTGCAGGAACCCAGTAATGTCCGTAATGTCTAGCATCAGTCGAGGACCCCTTGGAAGAAGCGGCATGCTCGGAAGCATCAGAAGAGGGAGAGTAAGGCAATTGAAAACGGCCCAACGAAACGCGTTCGGGCTGCAACGCATGGCAGAAAGAAGAGGGTGTGGACAGATAATCCCAGGGAAATGATGGTAGAGCCGCAAGATGCAAGGCAATACCGACCCGAAGGAGCAAATAATGAGCATTGAAGCCCCGCCATGCGATTCGACGTCGCATCTTTTTGCTGGTTTCCTCGAGAAATTATTGCACCGTTACTAGCATGATGATGATGATGATGATGATGATGATGATGATGATGATGATGATGATGATGATGAGTGTGGCTATACTTAAAAGACGTTCTGATCTTCAATGATACGACTTTGGTCTTATCTTATTTGATATTCAGAATCACCAGAATAAATAAATTATGCAGCAACTCAATCTACTAAGGGAAAAAATGATCACTAGGCTATCAACGATCGCATCCCGAGCAGCTGGTAGAAGTCTAGCTCTATGATCACAGGTGGAACAACAACCCCTCCTCCTCCTCCTCGACTGAAGCTATATTTATCTCTCAAGATCAACTCAGGGATACGGATAAGTCTCTTGGTGGACTTCGATTGATCTTGCTGCATGGAAGAACGAACGTCATCCAGTGAATTTTTGAACAAGAACGTTCTCCAAGGCATCTTACTATGACCTCCCTCCACGATCTTTATGCGCCGTCGCTGCGAATCATGGTGATCCTTACTTTGCGACTCCATACCACTGCCACTAAATAGATCCAGCAGATGGATGAAAATTAAGAAAAATAAGGCTGTTTTGCTTTTGCAAACTGCAGAGGAAATATCCATACAACTGATGAATGAATTTGTAGTTGTGGATCGTGGTGCCCTTTTTGCAGCGACAGTGTCTTCATGAACGAAACGTGGTTATGCGACACGAAAGTCGTAATTCCACAAGTTTTGATGCTTCCTCTTCTTTTCTTTCATCCTTATTCGAACTCAAACACAATTACAAATCAATATTGAAATTGTGTAAAATAAGTATACCTACACCTGCTCAGACGATTTTTTTGCGATCAACAATTCTATTTTCTTTGAAATTCAACGAAACCTTCATGACCATCCTACTTTCTGTGCATAGATCTTGTTCTTCTTCATCTTTTGGTATTCAGAAAATCATTAATTATTCATACCAGTGTGTTGGTGTTGTTATTGTTGAAGTTGATGAAAAAGAAAAATGATCAAAATGAAACAGAAACGAGAATGCTGTCACGCTGCTGTAAATTTTGTTAACTTTTTGTTGTACTTCCTGCGTCTCTTGTACTTAGCACATCAAATCTTGTATCTTATCTATCTAAATCGAAACGGAAACTCAGTTGCCTTCTAGCTACTTAATACAAAGCCTTGCGGCATTTGCAACTTCTATAGTCCGAGCAACGACTACCACAAGCAATCAGCGACGCAACAGGTGGACAGCTTACATACACGCAACGCCGACCTTGCACCTGGCAAAAGGAGACGGCAGCATCTCCTTCCGATAGCCAGGCTCTGGCCGGCTTGCCTGCCGCGATCCTTGCAATGCACGTAAGCCATCGCACCGAGTGGTGTTGGAAGTCAACATCATGCTCTAAAAAAGTAATGTGAATTCACATCATTATTTTTTGTTTGAACAAATAAATTTTCGAAAACAAGTTTAACTTTATATATTATTAATTATACTTTTTACTTACAAGCCGTACTAGTCGAGGACATCATAGACTACAACGACAAAATCATAATTTCCTAACTTGTAAACTGACACAGACATCATAATCATATGATAGATAAATCTATTCTTTGAAGCATGAACACGCGAAGAGATCAAAGAGTTGTAACTAAAAGTGAAAGACAAATGAAAGACAAGATAATCCAAACAATTAGTGTTCGTATTTTTCGTACTATCCTTCTCTCTTATTTCAATATCTTCTCCTCTTTCTAATGTCGCTACTACAATTACAGGCACATGGCAACTTCTAGGCGAGGTTTTTTTAACAAGTGAAGATTTGACTGCGGTGTTCGCTATATGGAGCCAAGTTGTGTATACCTTGAAATCTACTTTGCGCTTTATGTGTATTTTCCTGGGCCTTAGTGGGACCATGTTGGCAATCATCATCATCAGCATCATCTTCATCATCAACATCAAAAATCACCAAGCATCATCATCAACTTCATCTATGAAACAAACGGGATAAATGCACAGTGGCTTTCGCGTCGGTTCCTGGAGAGCAGCCGCAACCGCAATATTCAACGCAATCGTGATAGTCGTGATTGAGCAAACCGCAAATCCAAATTTCGTGATCCGAGCAATATCCCTCCTCGCATATCGTTGGCTTGCAACCATCACACTGTGCTGAATATGACGTTTTCAAAATTTTTCCACCAAGCTCCATGTCCATCGGTTCATCGTGTATACCTTTCAGATTAATGTTTTTGGCGTGTCTGCGAGTGGAAGTTTTTTCGGTCATCAAGCATGTTGATGTTGTTCATCATCTGCAGGTGTACACATTTCTTTTTGAACGGTAAAGAGGATCTACAACATGATCAGCAATTTCAATCTCGATGTGGATCACTGGTCACATCATAACTTACAAATACTATCCACCTATTTAACGTTTTCATTTTATGCAAAAGTAGACGAGGCAACGAAGTGCCTAGTTGTACCAAATCCTCATCCCAACAAACGTCGCTCAGTGCTTGCTTCGTCCGCCCTACGCTTCCCCAGCAACTTCTACTTCCCCGGAGACAGCACTCTTTGACAGGGATGACAAAGGTTATGACCATGATGTACTGGAAGTAGAACTACTAGAAGTAGATGATGCTGCTGTGACTGTTGACGTTGATGATAGTGATTTACGGTGGTGGAATGGTCTCAGCTAGCTCCGAGGCCTCCGCTGCAGTTTTTTTGTGGAGGCGTACTGGAGTGTCGACGTCGGCCAGCAGGTGAACATTAGACAAGCCTTAAGGTGGCAGCCCAATGGCTACGGTTTTGGGCGACGTCCTCTGCGATGTCGCCCCTGTCCTACGGGATGCGCTAATCTGCACAAGCACAGGGTAAAAATAAGGAAAAGTGGCTGGCTTTCATTGTTATGACTTTCATGAAGATCAAGATCCCCCAGGCTTAACGCCCCTCACCCGACTAGGCTGTAGCTAAATGTCGACCTTCGTGATGATCTTCGTCTTTCTGTTGCGTCCTTGATCGTGATGCTTGGGAGTCTTTACGATGTTGATTTTAGTAGTGGTAAGTCGATCTTTATGCTGGTGCTTGATATGATTATGATTCATAAGGTTGGAGGTGCAGTCATACCAGCGCGTGCGAAGATCATCCCAAAGTGTGAAGTGTCCGCCACTTTTTCTACCCTTTGGCAAATTCACATCCAAGCTCGCAGTGCCTGACTCCGTGCCAAGCGACATCCAGTGCCGAATGTGGCTGCGGTCCTTGACGGCCTGCACTGCGCCATATATTTGCGTTGGCCAGTCGTTCTGTGGGTTCTCCTCGGCTAAAGCGGCAGTGCGAACCGGCAACCAAATCTTCTTAAAGCTGCCATCAAGTCCCGGGGTTCGATGAAACAAATCCGCCCCCTCGCTCTGAAAGGCTTCCGTAACAAACATTTGGTCCACGTCCACGAAGTTGCGACTCATCGCTTAGAGGTTACGGAGCTACATTCCTCAAAATGTCTGCCCTGTCTTCTTTTCAACTTGATAAAGAGCCGAGTAGGGTCTAGGATGATAGTGCGGGATGAGATTCAAAAGCCCTTAACCTTCTTTGTCCGCGGCCGTGCTAGTGGACTTGAAAAAACATCGCCAATATTGTTGTACACCATCAGCCTCCCGTCTCTCCTCGCTTGTCTTCTTGTTCTGTTTGAATGCCTCGACAAAATTCGTATAGTGCGCCGGTGAAGTCGGGTCGCCAGGCTTTGTTGCTATATGCACGAGGACATACACAGGGCGCGGCTCTGATGTGTGAAGTTAGTTGGAGTTAGTTCGCGCTCGGAACGACGAAAAGCAGCATGATGAAGCTGTAGCTCGTTGTATTCAATTTCAAACTCAGTTAAACGGCAACGAGGATAACGTTAACAGATAATAAGAAGAAAGATCAAACAAAATGATCGCGATCCAAACTTTTTGAATGAAATTCACTTGCATGATATCGTTCCCCTTTTTCTGAAAAATAGACGTAGACCTGACACACTGTAATAAAAAGCACTTGGCCTCTTCTCTTCGTCCTCTTGTCTTCTAGCTCCAAGATGTTACGCGTGTCGCTATTGCCAGCTCATACAACATCGACAAGACGGAAGATCGATCTAGTTATCTAGAGCTAGATCATAGATAGAGATACAACTGCAACTCATGCAAATAAAACAAATACCATTAGCTGCATTCTGTTTCCCTTTCCACTTTTTGTCCAATACCTCATCAAGAGCCTCTTTCAGTTCCGTCACCTTTTGCATGGCTATGCCGTATTTGTTAGCGAACTCCTCCAAGCCTTGACGAATCTCCTCATCCGTGATTTTAGTTGCCAGCATCTTTTGCAGAGGTTCCTTGAGTGGCGCCTTCGGTGCACCAGTCTCCGCACTATCTCCCTCTTTGGCCGTACTCGTACACAATGTCTCCAGGGGAAACCGCCTTAGAGTCAGTGCCAAGGAACTCAAAGTCAGAAATGTTCTCAATGGTAAATGAAAAGAACAGCTCTACTGCCTGTTTTCAGACTGCACGCCTGGTCCTCATTTGCTGATAGTTTAGATTTCGTATATCTTTTTCTTAACTCTGTTTTTCTCCACGTCGAAGCGCCATCTTTTTCCACGCAGAAAGTGGTATGTACGTACTCCGCGAAAAAATGACCAGAAACAAAGGTGGCCGCGTCGTAAGTGTACTTCTTTGCTGGGGGTGCGTCTCCCATACTTGCAGCACCTAGAAAGTAAAAAATTGAGCACGATCCTACTTGCAGGGGCAAAGGGGTCGCAGCTATGCGGATAAAGTAGCGCCACGGTGAGCACAGGACGAAGGTGGCCACTGCTCTGCGATGGATCAGCACGGGGACGCCGGCCCAGTTCGATCCCTGTCCCTGGTTCTGATTTCAATCAACTCGCCCCGCCTCGTTCCTCCCAGGAGTGTCCTCCCTGGCCTCTGCTGACCCTCACAGGCAGGAGGCCGCCGGGAGGAGCCACGGCCCCCCGCCGAGAGCAGCCACAGCCCCAAGAGCAAGCAAGCCGATGACCAAGGACCCGGAGGGTACACACAAGCCCACAGCTCAGGGGGCCCAGCCCCTCGCCTTTTGCCGCCTTCAGAGGCCTCCCACCACCGGGAGGCCAGGGGGGACAACCCCAGCCACCGCAGTCCTCTAAAACGTCGCGAGAATTCTGCTAATTTTCCCGCGCGCAACCACCTCAGAGAAGCACCCGCGACACTGCTAGCGACGCACCCCCTGCCTGGCCAGCCCTACGCAATAGCAATACACATCGGCCGCACCTCTAAAAACACGACCAGCCAAGCAACAAGCCGCCCGTAGGTGCAGACACCACAGGCACAGCCTTACCCCTGCGCAAGCCCTGCAAAACCCGACGACCCAATAAAAGAACACAACCAGCGCGACCCAATAAAAAGACACAACCGGCACAGCTATCCCCCACCCGGGACCACTCTAACCAAGGCGCCAAAATGTTCACTAATTTAGCAGAGCCCGGCGGAGTGCACCGCGGCGAACCCGCTCAAAAAGTTGCTAGCGCGTTGCTCTCGTTTGGTTTTCTGGGGCTCCTCGAAGCCCCTCTAGGTAGAGCCAGCCAATTCTCCTAGCAGGTTCGCTGCCCTAGTTTGGCGCCCTAATTTGCCGCGCCCCAATATGCGTAAGCAAAAACGCGCAAGCCTTTGGGGCGGGTCGTGCAAAATTGGAGCACCAAGCTAGAGCATCGAACTAGAAGAATTCTAGAGGGGTTGCGAGACCCCCAGAAGGCAACTAAAGTCACCCTCCCGCGCCATTTTTTGAGTAAAAAAACAAGACACTCCGGCGGGAAACACATCCCGCCGAATTAGAAAGAGGCGCGGCCGAAGGAATTAGCGCGCAAGAATTAGCGCGCAGAATTAGCGCGCAGAATTAGCGCGCAGAATTAGCGCGCAGAATTAGCGCCACAAGCTCCCAACTACTAGAAAAAAAACCCGAAGAACCCTCTTGGTGCTACTAAACTACCAAACTCGGCCACCAACCTAGTGGCCCAAATTTTGGACTTTCGTTGCTTGGGCTTGGCACTTTAGTCGCGGCGGACACCGCGACCCAATGGCCAAACCCAGTCCACTATTCGCCACCAGTATCCCAGCGAACGCCACCGAACTACGAAACTCAGCAAGCTACGCGCTATCCCACGCCCGGTCTGCTGGGTTTTGTAGTTAAGTTGCGTGGCGTTCGCTGGGATATTCGTGGCGGCCAGTGCCGAATAGTGACGGCCAGGCAGGGGACTGAGCTTCACCGCTTAGCGAAGCGGCTAAACAGCGAAGCCCAGTAAACTAAACGAGTCGGCTGAGTTGTGCCATATAGAAAGGGAACCAAATGCCCAAACTCAGCAAACTACGCAACCAAAACCGCAGCGCGCCAAATCCTCAAAACCAAGCAGCCAAACAAGAAAACCAGAAGCACCACGAAACCGCCAGGCCCAAGCTACCAAATGACGAAAGGAACGCAGGCCAGTTTTAGGCCCTCGAGCTTGCAACTAACGCACAGAATTCACGCGCGCAGAATGAATCCACGCGCGCAGAATGAATCCACGCGCGCAGAATGAATCCACGCGCGCNACGCGCGCAGAATGAACCCACGCGCGCAGAATGAACCCACGCGCGCAGAATGAACCCACGCGCGCAGAATGAACCCACGCGCGCAGAATGAACCCACGCGCGCAGAATGAACCCACGCGCGCAGAATGAACCCACGCGCGCAGAATGAACCCACGCGCGCAGAATGAACCCACGCGCGCAGAATGAACCCACGCGCGCAGAATGAACCCACGCGCGCAGAATGAACCCACGCGCGCAGAATGAACCCACGCGCGCAGAATGAACCCACGCGCGCAGAATGAACCCACGCGCGCAGAATGAACCCACGCGCGCAGAATGAACCCACGCGCGCAGAATGAACCCACGCGCGCAGAATGAACCCACGCGCGCAGAATGAACCCACGCGCGCAGAATGAACCCACGCGCGCAGAATGAACCCACGCGCGCAGAATGAACCCACGCGCGCAGAATGAACCCACGCGCGCAGAATGAACCCACGCGCGCAGAATGAACCCACGCGCGCAGAATGAACCCACGCGCGCAGAATGAACCCACGCGCGCAGAATGAACCCACGCGCGCAGAATGAACCCACGCGCGCAGAATGAACCCACGCGCGCAGAATGAACCCACGCGCGCAGAATGAACCCACGCGCGCAGAATGAACCCACGCGCGCAGAATGAACCCACGCGCGCAGAATGAACCCACGCGCGCAGAATGAACCCACGCGCGCAGAATGAACCCACGCGCGCAGAATGAACCCACGCGCGCAGAATGAACCCACGCGCGCAGAATGAACCCACGCGCGCAGAATGAACCCACGCGCGCAGAATGAACCCACGCGCGCAGAATGAACCCACGCGCGCAGAATGAACCCACGCGCGCAGAATGAACCCACGCGCGCAGAATGAACCCACGCGCGCAGAATGAACCCACGCGCGCAGAATGAACCCACGCGCGCAGAATGAACCCACGCGCGCAGAATGAACCCACGCGCGCAGAATGAACCCACGCGCGCAGAATGAACCCACGCGCGCAGAATGAACCCACGCGCGCAGAATGAACCCACGCGCGCAGAATGAACCCACGCGCGCAGAATGAACCCACGCGCGCAGAATGAACCCACGCGCGCAGAATGAACCCACGCGCGCAGAATGAACCCACGCGCGCAGAATGAACCCACGCGCGCAGAATGAACCCACGCGCGCAGAATGAACCCACGCGCGCAGAATGAACCCACGCGCGCAGAATGAACCCACGCGCGCAGAATGAACCCACGCGCGCAGAATGAACCCACGCGCGCAGAATGAACCCACGCGCGCAGAATGAACCCACGCGCGCAGAATGAACCCACGCGCGCAGAATGAACCCACGCGCGCAGAATGAACCCACGCGCGCAGAATGAACCCACGCGCGCAGAATGAACCCACGCGCGCAGAATGAACCCACGCGCGCAGAATGAACCCACGCGCGCAGAATGAACCCACGCGCGCAGAATGAACCCACGCGCGCAGAATGAACCCACGCGCGCAGAATGAACCCACGCGCGCAGAATGAACCCACGCGCGCAGAATGAACCCACGCGCGCAGAATGAACCCACGCGCGCAGAATGAACCCACGCGCGCAGAATGAACCCACGCGCGCAGAATGAACCCACGCGCGCAGAATGAACCCACGCGCGCAGAATGAACCCACGCGCGCAGAATGAACCCACGCGCGCAGAATGAACCCACGCGCGCAGAATGAACCCACGCGCGCAGAATGAACCCACGCGCGCAGAATGAACCCACGCGCGCAGAATGAACCCACGCGCGCAGAATGAACCCACGCGCGCAGAATGAACCCACGCGCGCAGAATGAACCCACGCGCGCAGAATGAACCCACGCGCGCAGAATGAACCCACGCGCGCAGAATGAACCCACGCGCGCAGAATGAACCCACGCGCGCAGAATGAACCCACGCGCGCAGAATGAACCCACGCGCGCAGAATGAACCCACGCGCGCAGAATGAACCCACGCGCGCAGAATGAACCCACGCGCGCAGAATGAACCCACGCGCGCAGAATGAACCCACGCGCGCAGAATGAACCCACGCGCGCAGAATGAACCCACGCGCGCAGAATGAACCCACGCGCGCAGAATGAACCCACGCGCGCAGAATGAACCCACGCGCGCAGAATGAACCCACGCGCGCAGAATGAACCCACGCGCGCAGAATGAACCCACGCGCGCAGAATGAACCCACGCGCGCAGAATGAACCCACGCGCGCAGAATGAACCCACGCGCGCAGAATGAACCCACGCGCGCAGAATGAACCCACGCGCGCAGAATGAACCCACGCGCGCAGAATGAACCCACGCGCGCAGAATGAACCCACGCGCGCAGAATGAACCCACGCGCGCAGAATGAACCCACGCGCGCAGAATGAACCCACGCGCGCAGAATGAACCCACGCGCGCAGAATGAACCCACGCGCGCAGAATGAACCCACGCGCGCAGAATGAACCCACGCGCGCAGAATGAACCCACGCGCGCAGAATGAACCCACGCGCGCAGAATGAACCCACGCGCGCAGAATGAACCCACGCGCGCAGAATGAACCCACGCGCGCAGAATGAACCCACGCGCGCAGAATGAACCCACGCGCGCAGAATGAACCCACGCGCGCAGAATGAACCCACGCGCGCAGAATGAACCCACGCGCGCAGAATGAACCCACGCGCGCAGAATGAACCCACGCGCGCAGAATGAACCCACGCGCGCAGAATGAACCCACGCGCGCAGAATGAACCCACGCGCGCAGAATGAACCCACGCGCGCAGAATGAACCCACGCGCGCAGAATGAACCCACGCGCGCAGAATGAACCCACGCGCGCAGAATGAACCCACGCGCGCAGAATGAACCCACGCGCGCAGAATGAACCCACGCGCGCAGAATGAACCCACGCGCGCAGAATGAACCCACGCGCGCAGAATGAACCCACGCGCGCAGAATGAACCCACGCGCGCAGAATGAACCCACGCGCGCAGAATGAACCCACGCGCGCAGAATGAACCCACGCGCGCAGAATGAACCCACGCGCGCAGAATGAACCCACGCGCGCAGAATGAACCCACGCGCGCAGAATGAACCCACGCGCGCAGAATGAACCCACGCGCGCAGAATGAACCCACGCGCGCAGAATGAACCCACGCGCGCAGAATGAACCCACGCGCGCAGAATGAACCCACGCGCGCAGAATGAACCCACGCGCGCAGAATGAACCCACGCGCGCAGAATGAACCCACGCGCGCAGAATGAACCCACGCGCGCAGAATGAACCCACGCGCGCAGAATGAACCCACGCGCGCAGAATGAACCCACGCGCGCAGAATGAACCCACGCGCGCAGAATGAACCCACGCGCGCAGAATGAACCCACGCGCGCAGAATGAACCCACGCGCGCAGAATGAACCCACGCGCGCAGAATGAACCCACGCGCGCAGAATGAACCCACGCGCGCAGAATGAACCCACGCGCGCAGAATGAACCCACGCGCGCAGAATGAACCCACGCGCGCAGAATGAACCCACGCGCGCAGAATGAACCCACGCGCGCAGAATGAACCCACGCGCGCAGAATGAACCCACGCGCGCAGAATGAACCCACGCGCGCAGAATGAACCCACGCGCGCAGAATGAACCCACGCGCGCAGAATGAACCCACGCGCGCAGAATGAACCCACGCGCGCAGAATGAACCCACGCGCGCAGAATGAACCCACGCGCGCAGAATGAACCCACGCGCGCAGAATGAACCCACGCGCGCAGAATGAACCCACGCGCGCAGAATGAACCCACGCGCGCAGAATGAACCCACGCGCGCAGAATGAACCCACGCGCGCAGAATGAACCCACGCGCGCAGAATGAACCCACGCGCGCAGAATGAACCCACGCGCGCAGAATGAACCCACGCGCGCAGAATGAACCCACGCGCGCAGAATGAACCCACGCGCGCAGAATGAACCCACGCGCGCAGAATGAACCCACGCGCGCAGAATGAACCCACGCGCGCAGAATGAACCCACGCGCGCAGAATGAACCCACGCGCGCAGAATGAACCCACGCGCGCAGAATGAACCCACGCGCGCAGAATGAACCCACGCGCGCAGAATGAACCCACGCGCGCAGAATGAACCCACGCGCGCAGAATGAACCCACGCGCGCAGAATGAACCCACGCGCGCAGAATGAACCCACGCGCGCAGAATGAACCCACGCGCGCAGAATGAACCCACGCGCGCAGAATGAACCCACGCGCGCAGAATGAACCCACGCGCGCAGAATGAACCCACGCGCGCAGAATGAACCCACGCGCGCAGAATGAACCCACGCGCGCAGAATGAACCCACGCGCGCAGAATGAACCCACGCGCGCAGAATGAACCCACGCGCGCAGAATGAACCCACGCGCGCAGAATGAACCCACGCGCGCAGAATGAACCCACGCGCGCAGAATGAACCCACGCGCGCAGAATGAACCCACGCGCGCAGAATGAACCCACGCGCGCAGAATGAACCCACGCGCGCAGAATGAACCCACGCGCGCAGAATGAACCCACGCGCGCAGAATGAACCCACGCGCGCAGAATGAACCCACGCGCGCAGAATGAACCCACGCGCGCAGAATGAACCCACGCGCGCAGAATGAACCCACGCGCGCAGAATGAACCCACGCGCGCAGAATGAACCCACGCGCGCAGAATGAACCCACGCGCGCAGAATGAACCCACGCGCGCAGAATGAACCCACGCGCGCAGAATGAACCCACGCGCGCAGAATGAACCCACGCGCGCAGAATGAACCCACGCGCGCAGAATGAACCCACGCGCGCAGAATGAACCCACGCGCGCAGAATGAACCCACGCGCGCAGAATGAACCCACGCGCGCAGAATGAACCCACGCGCGCAGAATGAACCCACGCGCGCAGAATGAACCCACGCGCGCAGAATGAACCCACGCGCGCAGAATGAACCCACGCGCGCAGAATGAACCCACGCGCGCAGAATGAACCCACGCGCGCAGAATGAACCCACGCGCGCAGAATGAACCCACGCGCGCAGAATGAACCCACGCGCGCAGAATGAACCCACGCGCGCAGAATGAACCCACGCGCGCAGAATGAACCCACGCGCGCAGAATGAACCCACGCGCGCAGAATGAACCCACGCGCGCAGAATGAACCCACGCGCGCAGAATGAACCCACGCGCGCAGAATGAACCCACGCGCGCAGAATGAACCCACGCGCGCAGAATGAACCCACGCGCGCAGAATGAACCCACGCGCGCAGAATGAACCCACGCGCGCAGAATGAACCCACGCGCGCAGAATGAACCCACGCGCGCAGAATGAACCCACGCGCGCAGAATGAACCCACGCGCGCAGAATGAACCCACGCGCGCAGAATGAACCCACGCGCGCAGAATGAACCCACGCGCGCAGAATGAACCCACGCGCGCAGAATGAACCCACGCGCGCAGAATGAACCCACGCGCGCAGAATGAACCCACGCGCGCAGAATGAACCCACGCGCGCAGAATGAACCCACGCGCGCAGAATGAACCCACGCGCGCAGAATGAACCCACGCGCGCAGAATGAACCCACGCGCGCAGAATGAACCCACGCGCGCAGAATGAACCCACGCGCGCAGAATGAACCCACGCGCGCAGAATGAACCCACGCGCGCAGAATGAACCCACGCGCGCAGAATGAACCCACGCGCGCAGAATGAACCCACGCGCGCAGAATGAACCCACGCGCGCAGAATGAACCCACGCGCGCAGAATGAACCCACGCGCGTGAGCTTCACCGCTATGGTGTCAGTGCCGGGCTCTCCGATGGTGTTCTCTCTCGCGGACCTTGCGCAAGGGGTTCGGTTTAGCTGCACCCTTACGGATAAGAGCAGCAGAGTCCCCCACCCGATGCTCGTTCTAAGAGACGTCTCCACAGGGGAGCGAACAGCCTCAACGCGTTCGAGTCCGTATGACCCAAATAGATGGCGCGGCACAAGACGCACCAGATGCGAAACAAGACGACACCGACAAGGGACAAGATTCGAAGCGCAAAGCCTATAGCAGCGCCATCCCAGGAGACGCAACGGGGGAGCAGATCAAAAAAGAGACCGCAGCACGTGAGAAGAGCACACCCGACGCGGTCGATGCGGTCCAGTGAGAAGGTGCGAACTCCGAGGCGCTCTCTAAGAACTTGGCGCCACTCCCCTTCCTGTTGCGCATGATGTTCGTCAAGATTGTGCTAATATTCCGGGGCAAGGTCTGGGATCCGGGGCGGCCTTTCCCTAAAGTCCTACTGCGTAAGGTCTTCCATCCGTTGGACTCGCGAAGCCCTTCTGGTGTTGCGCGCAAGTTTACACCTCCGGGGATACTAGACACAGTCGCCCCATTATGACGGGGCCAGCAGTATACTTCTCAACTATATCCAAAGCCTCTACCCTTTGGACTAAAGCCCCCTTTTAAAGTAGGCAATATCTAGAGGCGAATAGGTAGAGGCTGCCCAGTCTTAGGGCTGTCACTAGCTAGCTAAAGTATATAGCTGACGTAGGTAGGTCGAGGCTGGCCCAAGAAGAGGAGCCAGCATTTTGGAGGCAGCGCCGGGGCGTTTGGAGCTGGATGAGAGAGGAGGCTGGTAGAAGGGGACCCCTTGAAAGGGTCGCCGCTGGCTTTGGGTCGGAACGCTCCGCGAAGCAACGAGAGGCCATGAGCATTGCGCTGCTTCTGTCTAATTCAGGCTAGGGCTAGCTTCTAGGGATCTAGTTCACTCTCTCGGGCGGTCCTCTGTTCTAAGTGTTGGACTATGAGGGGAAATGGATGGGAAACGAAGTAGAATTATAGAGATTCGACCGAGACAAGATCTAGCAAGGGGATCCCTGAACAGAACAAAGACCACGAGGATCGAGCCTGGAAGATCAACGACGGCGAGCCAATGGAAGAGCTTGCGACTTGCTTCCTGCGATTGCTCTCAGGAGATCTAGGCTATGGATAAGCGTTCTCATTCGATTGAGCTCCCACTTTCTCACAAGATTTGCTGGCCACTCTTTCAGGCTTTTCCTCTCTACATACTAGAAATGGGCCACTTACCTCGACAAACTGAGGCCGAGTGCCTCGATGTCTTTTGTGAGCACATTGGTCAACCATTTAGATACATGCGCGGCCATGAACTCAGTGCAGGCCTCTTCGCTAGACCTAAATAACGCATCCACGACTCTCGAGCGTCTGACGGGGCGAGATGGTTACCAATTCAACCTAAAGGCACAAGAAAACAGGCCGCAGCCTGGTGCAGAGAGATCAAGCGCTGACCCCGCCGGCCCGGGATGGACTTCGCGGCCTGATTATCTCGGGAAAGTCCCCAGAATTTCTCGCGAAAATCCACACCAGGCCCCAGCCTTTGCCCCTTCTCTCAGCCTGCTCTCCAGCTCAAGCTTTTGAGCCATACCCAGACAACCCCACGGGGGTTTTGCTCTGGGTGTGTGCTCTCCTCCTCCACACCGGGACAGACTCAGCAGCTCACACCGATCAAAAAGCGGCCTTTTGATGCTCATCGTGACAGATCTCACAGCGCAAACCAAGGCGCGGCCGATGGGTGTGCATCTACAAGCAAGAGCACCAGACGCGCACCATCATCAGAGTGCTCCCACCAAGTGCAAGCCTTGGGCTTTGTGTTCCGTTTCTGTCTGAACAGCCGAGGGAAATCACCGATGCACCACATTGAGCGAAATTACGAACCGACTCAGAAGAAAGCACCGAGAGAAGTAGCAGACTTATCGACTCGCGACCTTCTTCTTCTGCTGCCCTCGCTCTGTTCGGCGTCTTCTCTTGCTCGTTCCTCCGTTGGCCTTGTTCTGCGCTTGCGCATGGCCGTGCATGCTCCCACCGACTCAGAAGCACGCCAAACCGATCCCAGATTCCCACGCGAGCACCACCCCGAGTCTTCCTGTACCTAGAGGACCGAACTAACTTGCTACCTTCTGCCGTCGTTTCTTCCTGCTCCGTGCCTTGCTTCACTTCCGGCCCCTGACTAGCATCAGGCGGAGGTGTCGCCGACAACCTAGGGCCGACCTCTGTGCACTCAAGCAGCCACCTGAATCCCCACGCCAATCCTTTTCGCACAGTGATAGACTTTTATACTTTTCCCATCAGTTCACTGCACAGCTGTAGAAGGGTGCGCTATGGTGACTGACACAATTCACATCGGTAAGAGCTCTGCTAGGTCGTTCCAAAAGTGTCACGATGGGGCACTACTGGCCGACTTCTGTGCAAGTTGGTTCTTGCTCCGATAAGTCGATAACCAAGCCCCACAGTCTGACTCTACGCCAAGGGAAAGGTCACAAGTTTCGGAGTGATAAGTAAACAGATCCACTATCTTTCTCCCATATAAACAATTACGCATAGGGTGGAGGTGTTCGCTTCTTGATCAGAATCAAGCTCATCGCGTGTAGGTCGTTAAGTATTGGCCTTGTCCTCGTTGTTCAGGCAACGAGTCGACGAAGGCAAGACACAAATCCAACACAAATAGACGAAGCTACATCGTGGACCAAAACAACGAAGAAGACAAAAGGCCTCAAAATACAACCAGGACCATGAACAAAGTACGCAGCACACAAGCAGAAACGTCGCCACTCTTTATAGTCTTGATCTCAATTCTGCGTAGTTCTAAATTTTTTCCTATTTATATCAGTATCGTCATGGTGTTGGTTCATTTAGAAACTTCCCCGACTCTTCTCCCCATGCCACACGCCTACCCCCACCCGCTGCAGCGGCTTGTCTTGCTCTGCTTAGTCGTCGAGATTGATCTCGACCGCCGCCATCTGCAAGCCGTTGGCAGCAGCGTTGCCACTACCGTTGCCGCCAGGCTGGTTGGGGAGTTTCTTCTCGATACGGGCGCACAATCGAGGCCGTGGCTCTTGGGGCAAGAGCTCCCAGCCCTCGTCTGCGTCGTTGTGAGCCTTGATCGCGTCCGCGTAGTTACCTGGAGGAGTGAGAAAAGGGCTGCATCATGAAAATCCGACGAAGATGGCGACGATATAGCTCGCATCCCCGTCCTTCGATGGTTTTACAAGAAGTCTAAGCTCTGAACTTTTCTGAGGATTCAAAGACGGAGGCGCGGTCTATCAGATATGGATCACAACTACGGGCACTCACAAGCCCGAGATTAAAGACACCATCCCCAAGCACAAACGTCAGCACTTAAGGATACCAGTAGAAGTCGCAGCGTCGATCAACTTCTTGGCCTCCTTCAAGTCGAAGCCTCGACACGACTCGCAGAATGCTTTAAAAGCATCGGCAACCTCTGGAAACGCGACGAGCGTGCGAGAGTTGGACAACTCCAGGCGAGTGAGGACGGCCCTGGCCTCTGCTTCTTCATCAAGGCCATCCAAGAGGAAAACGCTGGCCACGCGGCGCAAAGTCTCCAGCAGAGGGGCCACGGCGTCGCTATCCTTGACCGCTTTGGGGCAACAGTCGCCACGTAGCCCCTTAGTCTCATCGATTTGCTGACGATAGTTGTTCTCGTCGTAGTTGTCCCAGATCTCACCGATTGCCTTCAGCGAGTTCGTCAATTTCTGCGCGTCGTTGTCAACTCGCTCGCGATCCAACCGAGTCGCAATATTTCTGCAATTATTTGGCAGGCCCTCTGTCACATTTCCAGGCATCTCCGCGCATGGACGCTGGCCGCAAATACGAACGCGAGTGATCAACCCCCCGAGGCTCTTGAGCGCCGCATGGGGCTGGGTGGGTGCCACCAAGCGCCTCGCTGCACTTCTTCACCTTCGCGACCATGCTGCCACTCATCTGGGTGGTAGAGGTATTTGATTACTATAGACTTAGACGCACTTGCTTTGGCTCTCGCTAGTTCATGAACTTTTCTAAGTCTTCGCTATCTCATCCATCCACAAAAAAGCCCAGCACATCCCTCCCACGACATCAGCATCACATAAATCAGTCGAAAAATATGCCAGGTCTCTCGTCTTCGGTTCACCGGACCAGTTGGGGCACACATGACCGGCGACACTCTTCCGCAGCATCATCTCCGCGCACTCGGAATCATCAAGAGCACGGCTCACCTCGTCGAGCGTGGGCAGCTCGGGCTCCTCCTCGGCGTTCAGGCTCAGCCAAGACGTGGCGCCGGTATGCACAAACAGAGCGCGCCCATCGGTTGCTGCCGTGGCCAAGGCCTGGAGAAGTTGCAAGCTTTTGAAATTTGCTAACGTCAGGGGGAGAACTAGGAAAGAAAGTCACCCAGCTTTTAGCTTTTCACTATAGGGGTTTCATAGTTGTTAAATATTTGAAGAGCGGCAGAGTATGTAGCTGAGAGCTAAGCAAGTTTGAGCGTGTAGTTGAGAAAAATTACCGTCTTGATGCCAGAGAAGAAAACGCGTTGCGGACTGAGTGGCTTTGGCTCACCGTCGATAAATGGCAAGCGCTTCGTCTCCAGCTTGCCGGCTTTTTGCTCCTTGATGGCCGTGCTGATGAGCGTGCAACTTTGCACAAGCTGGCGGAGGTTTGATGTAGCGCTCACGCAAAACGCCCGCCCTTTGCCAGTGTTCCAAGCATGAAGCTGGTGCAAGTTCTTCACGCGTGCCTCCTTAGCCGACTTGTAGCTCTTCGCCGCTCCTTCAGCGTATGCATGAGCGGCGGCAACCTCGCGCAAGACCTTGCGGCTCGTGTCCGGCAATAGCGGGGACAGATACGAGCACGCCGCCAAAGCGCGCGAGCGGTTTTGCTCATCGGTGATCCCTTTGCACCGGTCGACCAGATGACCCTGCTGGTTTAAATTTAGAAAAAACGAGAGGGGCCCGCAAGAGCTGAAGTTGATGGGATGACAACTCGCGCTACTACAAGCCTGTAGCTCATACTGCATAAGAGACCTAACTTCAACAACATCGCCGAAGTTCTTTGCTACCCTTAACGTCTCCGCTAGAGTTGCCACCGTCCTACGTCTAAAAAACAACACCAATACCGCGACCCGTCTGCTCGTCTCGTCGTCCGTGCCTTCGAGCGTGCCCCTCTTGAGCACGAGGGCCCTGGCTGATACTTTGTCAGCACGGACAGCCGTGACGATGCCCCGAATGGGGCCCGGAATCTTCTCCAGGGCTTTTGCAGTCGATTTCTCGTGCTCTAAGAAAAGCCCCACCCCGGTCCTCGCCTCCTCCACTTCCGCAAGCCTCTCAATGCGACCCATCACTCTCGCCCTGGCGTTTTGCTGGTCGTTGCGTAGCGTCTTGGTGCAGGAAATCACGGCCGCGGTGTTCTGTTTAGGTTAAGTCTATACTTATTAGAGTGCGAAAAGGGGCGGAGGCTTGTTTATGATTTGAGTGGAGGGGGAGCGCCTCTGGTGCTTGTTGTTAGTCCAGCTGGTTTCTGTAATCTGCTCGGGCTACACGAATAGGCTAACAGTCGGAATCTACTCAGTTCAGCGAAAACGTAACAGAGTAGAGACCCTCCAAAAATTACACCCATAGAAGATGATAGCTAATAACGAGAGGAAACATTAGTACCGGAGTCCCTGTCTTTGCGCGAATTTCAGCTGCGAGGTCGTCTGTATTGTGACGCTGTAGGCGGCGCGCCTTCGTGGTCGCTCCTCCACTGCCAGCGTTTCCGGAAATCGCGTAGATTTTTGAATATTATCCAACTAGATGATGGTCTACGATTCTTGTTTTAGATTAGGGCTCTTCTATTGTATTGCTTTAAATCTTATCCATTCACTTACTGCGGGACTATGTAGAAGGGAGAAAGTTTTCCAATCATCTCACGCGTTTGCTTTTTCGTCATAATTAGCATAAGCATTCGCCGAAACTCATGGGACGCAGATGATGAGGCGCCCACTGTTTGCAAGCTGTTGGCGATCGAAAGCGATCCGGTGGCGAGCTAGCAAGAGGCCACAACGTCTGGAGCAGATGGCCCCATGTGAGATGAGCTTGGTCTACTGGTACTTGCCGAGGCAAGTTCTGATAGACTTTGGGCGGCTATCAGGTGGCTGGATAAAAAGGCGCTCTCGTTCCCAAAATGCGCAAGCGTGACGGTCAGGCTATTTCGTTACTATCTGTTACAACTTGCACGGGAAAGCTGTCAAGAGTCACCATGTCCACCGCAAAAAGCTCGCCACGCTGTTGAAATTCAGGGAGGTCCTTAGGGAAAAGGTCACGACTCAAAAACAGTCTGCGTTCTTTTAAATTGTCTCGCATACACCCGCCAGCCCTTCTGGCTCTCTCTTCTGGTCCATGCCCTCCCTCATCAGACTAAAACACTGAAACAATCCTAAAAACAAGAAATACCATAGCGATCTGCTCTGGTGACAGAACCAACGCGGAACCCCCGGCCGACGGTGCAGAACAAGAGCGACATATCTCGGAGCACCTCTTCACCCTCGAGAAGGTACAGCATGGCAGTGCGCCAGTGCTTATGGAACTCCAGCCGCAAGGCGTCCCGTCTGTTCTTGTTGCGGTCAGTGCTCAACATGGTACCACTATACAGCTCCACCGGTGTGATGATGATCGCTATGAGCCACATCGCTAAACAGAAGACAGGCCGCGCGTCTGTCTGATCGTTCCAGTTGAGGCCAGAGGTGTGCTCCAGTAGGTTATCCTGCCCGAGTTTGATACTTCACCCAAGACCGAAGAAGACTCCTGCCAAGAAGTAAGCCACGCAGACGATGCACCGGGCGCAGACCTGCAGAACTGTGAGCCACCTGGTCCATATTGGAAGCGGCCACCGTTTGTAGATGCTGCGCACCGTTCGCGGCATCCCTCTGGTTCCTTCATATGCGACCACCAGCCGCCGCCGTTCTATTCTCCCAGCAAGGAGCGCCTCCCGGGTTTTTTCGTCTACTCCTGCCCGCTTAGGGAAAGCCTCGAGCTCAGGCTGCTTCTCTGGTTGGAGGGCAGGGCTGCTGAATTCCGTCACCCATTGCGATACACTCTCCAGCTGGCTTTGTGTCTTCTGTTGCAGAAGCCGGCCGCACCGACAGGGCCTGGCGTGTGTTTTGATTGGTTTGGAGATATTGGGCGGCGAAGTGCAATTGGATAACTATGCCCATACGGTTCAAGGGTGCAGACACTCCCCTAATAGGCTACGACGGTCATGGTGCTCGGGGCTGCTATCCATCTACTGAAAAGAAAAACTGAACGCACCGGGGAACTGATGCCCATCAAGGCGATGCACTTCTTTGGCTGAGTGGAGTAGTTTTAGAAGGTGGGAAGGCCTACCCCGGTGCCCCTTGAAAATGAGCGAGCTAGAAAAGCCCAGAGGGTGCGCATACCTGTAAGCGGAGCCGTTTCCGCCATGTTTTTGGGTCGAGTCCTACGAGACTAAGGTAGGGCCCGGCGGTGGACTTGCAGACAAGGGCTGCCCGATGGTTTTTACATCTGTCAGGCCAGAAGATGGCGCGCGATGCTAGTTCAGCCGAGTCGATGAGAAGCTTGCCAAGATAGAGCAGCACGCTGATGGTGCTTCCTCCACTATCCGCCGACGGGCTGAGGATCTTTATAGTAGAGTCAGGAATCTCACGGAAGAACGCCTCGGGGTCATGTGTTGCCCAGGTCTGGTCTGCGATCTCGTACGCCTCTGAGTATCCGCGGAAGCAGCTCTTCCCGCTCTTCTTTCCTTCACCAAACTGCGCGCCGTTCGGGTGCAGCACCGTGCGCGCTGGTAGGAACCATGACCCGACACCGTTCACCCCTGCAGCAGTGAACTGTACTGCTGCGAGCGATGCTATCTGATGCGCGAAGATTCTCAATCTACCTACAGCATCACTCTGGAAGTGCAGCCGCTGGGTGGTTGTTCCGTCGGATTCCGCTCTGTATTGGACTACGTTAATCCTGTTGCTCTTTGCTCGGGTTTGTGCCGCGTCTCTTGCTACGTCCACTGGAATGCTTCAAAGCTTCCACAGCCTGCGAGGATGCGGCTGGTCTTTCGAGTCGAAGAATGCGCGGACATCACTGCCCAGAGGCTCAAGGGCGAACAGACTCCCGCTGGCGTCTGTGCTGGAACTGCTTCCACCTAGCTCCATGGCCGCAAGAGGCAGACCCAAGGAGCCCAAAAGGCCCACAACCACTACAAGCAACGAGGCGACGAACCCGCGAGGGCCCACGATGCCACCAGCTGGACACATATTGGCAGCTGTTCCGCCTTTCATTGTGGCGCTGCTGGCGAACGGCCTGGCCGTCCGGCCGCTGGCTGTGTTCCGAACTTCGGCCGGCTCGCTCCCCTGGAAGAATCACGAAGACGCCCAGAAGACTAGCAAACCGCCAAGAGGGTGGACCGGTCGCGCCGCATCGTTTTCAAATGTTTCAGCTTATTCCTGTGCTCTACTGTTTCACTTATCTAATCAACTAGCTCCAGACGATCAAAAAGCCCCAAGGGAGGCGCGCGGCCTCGCCGTTTTGTGGCTTCCTTTTTGGCCTTGTTCTTGTTGTCCTTTTTTGTCCCCCTTTTGTGGTCTGCTTCTGTCCATCCAGGCTCTCTCAGCTGACCGACCTACCATCCACCTACCACCTGAGACCGAAGACCCTGCGCCCCTCTCTCTCCCTCTCTTTTTTGGTCCCTTTTTTCCCCCGTCTTTTTCTTCTTCCTTTTCTCTCTCCTGACACCATTCCCATGGCTAAACTGTCTGCAGGACCTCGAACCCCGAGGCCTGCTGCCCATCTCTCCACCTATCGGGCGACACCACCTGCAGGACTCCTCTGACCTGTTGGAGATCTTCAAACCACCACCGACCCCCTCTCACTCTCTCCACATCTCGGAAACCGATGAGGCCACCAGCCTGCGCCTTATCGTGGTGCCCTCCTTGGCTGTCATTTTTGCAAGGTGCACACCTTCAGAGTTTTCAAGTTTTTCGCTTGTTTTTCTGAGGACTTTCTGGCATCTTTCTTCATCCATCCCGGCGAGGTCAACAAGTGGGCCCCTCACAATCACAAAGGGCACCCCCGTGGGTGCCTGTTGCTAGGAGTGGGCCCTTCTGCAGAAGGCCTCACTTTCTGCCACCCAGTTCACCGGTCGCACGACTGCGAGACGCTCGACGCCAATTGTCACGCTTACAACTTCAATCGCCGGAGCCTCGTCGTGGAGCTGCGTCGAATATTCCGCACAGGTTTGGGAGTGAGCCTGGACACTGCAAGCCAAGGACTAGCACTGACCTGAGCAGAACGCACGAGAGCCAGAGCTGTGGCGTGGCCCCTGTTCCTGTTGGTGTTGTGTTCACTTGACCTCTCGCCCCCTCTCCGCTCACCTCAGCCCCAGCCTGTTCCCCAACTTCAGCGCAAGCCTGTGGACCTGGACGCTGAAGGGCCAGGCTTATTACAAGCCTCAGCGTTACCCTGTGCGCTACATACTGCCCGGGATTCGGCTTCGGCGCTGCCTCTGGCCTGGCGCTGCCCTGGGCTTGATTTCATTGATCTACGTCTACCCCGCGCACAACAACAGAACACTACACACGCAAGCGCGTGGGCGCGGAGGGACCAGGCTCATCGTGGGCCTTGTATATACTGGCCAAAGTTCGGCCTCGGCGCAGCCTGCGGCCTGGCGCTGCCCTGGGCTTGGTCTCATTGCTTTGATTTACCCGGCCCCGGCCCGTTCATCATAACACACCCAGAGAGGAGTGGAGGCCGAGCAGAAAGCAGAACGAGAACGCCCGACCCCCTCAGCCCTCTCGCGTCTGCTTGTCGCAGTTGCGTCGAAGAGCCGGGCCCCAGGTCAGCGCAAGCGTGTGGACGCTGAAGAGCCAAGCCCTTGCAAGCCTTGCACATACTGCCCAGGATTCGGCTTCGGCGCAGCCTCTGGCCTGGCGCTGTCCTGCTCCTGTGCTTGATCTCGTTGACTTGCCCCGCGCAACGCAACAGAACACAGGCAGGCGCTTGGGTGGGCGCTGAAGAACCAGGCGCGTCGTGAGCTTTCCACATACTGCCCAGGCCTCGGCTTCGGCGCAGCCTCTGGCCTGGCGCCGCCCTGGGCTTGGTCTCATTGCTTCACCCCACGCACCACAACAGAACACACGCAAGCGCGTGGGCGCTGAAGGGCCGGGCTTATAGTAAGCACTGCGCACACTGTCCAGAATTCAGCCCCGGCGCGGCCTCTGGTCTGGCGCTGCCCTGGGCTTGGTCTCATTGCTTTGATTTGCCCGGCCCCGTGCATCACCACACACGCGGAGAGGAGTGGGGGCCGAGCAGAAAGCAGAACGAGAACGCTGGACCTCCTCAGCCCTCTCGTGTCTTGTCACAGTTGCGCCGGAGAACCAAGCCCCAGCGCTGCTCTTCCTCTTAAAAAACGCGGCTAGCCAAGGCAAGGGCAGCCCTCTGCGCAGGGATAGGCATAGGCATGCCCCTGCGGCCCCTTGCCTTTCCCCACAGAGGCGCAAGGATGCGACCGGGCGTCGCATGCGCGTGCCCGTGATGTCGGGCCGCGTGCGTGCCTCGTTTGGTAGCCCTAACAACTGCCGAAGCGCGAGGGAGACAAGCTAGAGCCGCGCCCGCCGGTCTGGTCTGCCAGTTGCAGCACAAGAGCAAGGCCCTGGCGTCTCAGCTAGAGCGCAAGGACAGGCAACCACATGGCTCCGGCCTGCCAGTCAGAGCGCAGGGGCCTGGCCTGGCGTGTCTGTTAGAAAGCGAAAGCAACAGCAAGAGCAACGCAAGGGGCTGGCCAGGTTGCCAGCTGGCGCGCGCGGCGGCGTCTGCTGATGATCTTATGGCTTGGCAACAGGCCGCAGCTTTTCTGTAGCTTCGGGCTACGCTAGACAGTGCCAGCCCTAGGCCTGGCCCAGGGCATTAAATTGACAAAACAAGGGGTAGGAATCAGATCAGTCCAGTCCACTTAGCGCGACAGCTGAGTAGACGCAGAGTAGAACAGAAGGGGACAAGACTAGAGCGGAGAAGAGTAGGCCACAGATCAGAACTGGCCGCGGCTCAATCTCAACCCAACTCAGGGCATGCCAACAGGCGCGCCGGACCTGGCCCAGCGCCGCGCACTAGTCTAGCTACGACACAACAACAGCGGGGGGCTGGCATCGCTTGAGCTGAGAAAGGCCAGCACGAGATCAGCCCAGACGAGACGAGTCCCCACGCCGCCCCCCTGAAGATTGCTTTTGCTATCATATCCGCCCCAGCCTCCTCTCTGCGGGTCGTTTGACTGCTATGCAAATCAATCCCCTCCCGCTGGGGCGGGATGGGTTTGGAGTGGTGCTGGCGGTCGTCATGTTATGCAAAGCAATGCCTTGTGTACAGTGCGAGCGCAGTAGGCATAGCGGAGCGAGCTAGTCGCAGAACCGAAGGCCAACACTAGAAAAGAGCAGAGACAGACTAGATCTAGAGAAGATTGCTAACCTGAACTCGAGAGGAGACCAGACGGCACAGACTCGGACACCGCGCGCGCCCGCCCGCTGGCTCTGCCATAAGATAAGAACAACAGAGCACAACAGTACAGAAGCAGAGCGCAAGGCAGCGGAGGAGGCAACCGCTACACAATCGCCAGAGCGCGCAGCGTGCCTACCGCTTTACCCTCGAGAGAAGACGCGGAACCCGCGGGAAGAGCTGAGCCAAGTGAGAGAGAGAGAGAGAGAGAGAGAGAGGAACCTCCCCGATCTGGGGAGGGCGGTCGCCTGGCCGCGACCTGCTGGCGCTTCGGGTGCAGAGGGTTCCCCTCTGGACACCACGCAGCCAGCCCCTGACCCTGAGGCCTTGCCCAGGTGGCGCCCCTTGTGTTTATGCATCACCCAGCCCGGCTACTCATCAGATGAGCTGGCGCCGTCCAGTTGTGGCCAGGGTTGTGAGCCACACGATGGACCGCGTGGGCGCGGTGCCGTCAGCTGCTCAGAGGGCTCCCCTTGGGTCTCATCTCCCCGCACTGTCTGGCCCAGCGCGGTCCCCGTTTGTCTCTCCCCTGGGTGTGGGGCGGCAACCAGCCTGAGGGCCGCCTCCCTGCCAGTCGAGTCCCCTCCAGGATTCGAACCAAGTGCTTAAGACTAGGCAGCGGCAGGGGCGTGGCATGGCGATGGCTGTGGCTGTGGTTTGGTAGCCGAGCCCGAGGGCGAGCGGGCGAGGGGAGTCGAGTCGCGGCGCGTTCTGTTACCTCCACGCCACTCGTCTCGGCTTGCCTGAGCTAATCCAAATGGCCTCAGGTGAGCGCCAGCCCGAGCCCTGCCCAGGCGGGTCCCATTCTCTTCATTCTTGCTCCAGGTTCGGCGGGGCTCGAAGCCCCGCGCCGCTTCGCTTTCGTCTGAACTGATCGGCCTTCGCTTGGCTTGTGTTCGCATCAGCTAGCGAAGCGGAAGCTGGGGCGCGCGGCCGGGCGAGCGTGGCCGGGCTTAGTAGCCAGAGCGAAGCAAGCACAAAGATAAGAGGCCAAAGGGTGAAAAGCTGGACCCATAAGCGAACAAAAGACCACCACCACGGCGGCGCTTGGGTTTCGCAGTCTTTCGCTTGGAAAGAATGTCCCCAGATTTTGGGCGTTTTCACCCATGCCCCCCACACTTGCACAAAAGCGAAACACTTGCCACGCAGCCAGGCCCTTTCTCCGCGTTTTCAGTCGTCCAGAAATGCCCCCAGGAAAGTTTTCCCCCACACTTAGCAACAAAAGCGGGCCTGAACATGCGCCACGAGTTTAGTCCGAGCTACGGCACGAGTTAAAGCGCAAAACGCAACCGCTGGGGGGGCTCTAACATGCTCCGGCAAAGAAAGAAGCGCCCCCAAATCAATCCACTTGGGACGACTTTGCGAACAAGAAGAGCCCACTTGTCCCCATCAGAGTACGCCGCACGGCGCCAGCATAAACGGCACCGCTGCGGCAGCCTGCTAACTTCTGCCACGAGTCAGGCGATTCGCGTTGATTCGTGGCCATCTCGTGACTGATCTACCTAGCCTAGAAAGAGAGCGCGAGCCGCTCAGACTTGGAGCCCTCTGCAGGCGACGCCAGTGCTAGTGCTACATCTGAAAGGGGTCCGCGCCAGCTTCTCATTAACGCCTTGGCAAGAGAGTGAGACACAGCCAGCCAGACCCTCGGCAGCGCCTAGGCCTACCCCTTGCAGACACGGAAGAAGACGAGGCATCGCAGGCGCCCGCTCCCTCTCGTCTTCTCCTTTCGATGTGGTTGCGCCCGCTTCCTATGTTCGTAGCGCTTTCCGGCCTGATTTTTTTGCTTCCTGAAAAATCAGAACGCGCGCACTTTTCAGGTCATCCGCATGGGTACAGTCATGGGCTCAGTCATGTGTAGCCAAAAACAGCCACACCGGGCGGCTAGGCGACTGCTCGCTACTCATGATCGTGGCCGATTTTGAGCATGAAAAAACGGCGCCGCTGGTTTTTGAAAAGTGGCACTTTTCTGACCATCCCACATGGATCCAGTCATGGATCCAAGCATGGGCAGGAGCCGAGAAATCTGCAGCACACACGCAACCAAAGCCGAGCCCAACGAATAACCCCCGAAAGACGCAGTGCCTGAGACAAGAACTACAACGCGCGCCGCCAGCTGACGCGTCCATCCTGCGTGGCGCATGCTGCCAGCCCCAGAGCAGGTCCTGCCACAGCTGCGCTGCTTCTCGTCCCTCGCTCTAGCCGAATCGGAATTATCAATATTAGGCGAACTACCAAGTTGAACAACAAGTAGATCATCTTTCCAAATGAGTCGTACCGCCTGCTTCCGCGCCCAGCGTAGAAGTATCCACTTGCAGAAATGATGTCACGTTCCCGATAAAACGCTGATCCTGATTGACAAAAATATCGAAAAACCGGCGATCCTGATTCTGTTCCTCCTCCACTTCAGCGAAAGCACTCAATGCTTCATTTTCATCTACATCCGTATCACGATCACCGTCGCCCCGTAATAACTCACGGCGCATGCGAGACTGGACATTCGCGAACTCCAAAAAAAAGAACACGTAGAACAGACCCGCCACCGAAAAAAAAGACTGCTTCTGAAGAGTGCGTCCCGGATATCGCGATAATTGAAAGCATGTGAAGGTCCTGCTGTGGAAGATGGATTTAGTTTTTTTAGATGACTTCTAGAAAAGATTCCAATTGATTGTGATTCTTAAGAACAGAAGAATCAAGAACGAAAAGTTGCTGATATTGCGTGAAAGACAGCCGTGGCAATACGAGTGCGATACTAGTACCGAAGAGAACGATAACCACAATCACAAGGTCGAGCAGAATGATGACAAATATATTATTAATACCACAATGTTAGAAAGTACCTCGTCTTGCTTTTGCTCGCCTTCGATTTTTTTCCTTCGGAGCTCGAAATAACTTCGTTGGGTTCCACATCTCTGCATTCCGAGTTCGCAAGTGAGACCGAAGAGGTGGAAACCTAATCCAGAATAACGAGGTAGAGTTCTTTGATATTCATAGATAGTAACTCTAACTTCTCGTTGACAAAAGTACCTACTTAAAAGCAAGAACTATAATTTGATTCTCAGAATCTCCTGCTCTTGTTCAAGTAGGCAACGAATCGCTGCTGTGAAATGCAGGAAGAAACTGCTCACTCTTGAGAAATTTTTGAAACACAGATAGCGTTCTCACCGATTCATATTTGGCTTCGGGATCATCCATGTCTTCGCGCCCCACACCAGTCAGCTTCCTAGAATCGTCAACAAGGAGTGGCGCAACTGTGTGGTCCACACAGAGGTCCGCAAGAAGAAGGACCACCTCGTCCTTCGCATCTGTGACCGTGTCCACCATGATTTTCGTAGTTTTTGAGTTTGAGAAGGAGAGGAATGAATTGTAGTTCTAGTTGATGTTTGGTCTTGGTGTTGGGGCTGCGGATGGTACGAAAAACAAAAAACGAGATATCTTCGATGAACGTCGACTGGGTTATTATTTATTCGTCCCCACGTTTGATTGCAACTGGATGACGCTGCGCTGCTGCTTTGGAAACCGAAAAGGAAAAGCGCAATTGCGAAATTTCGGAGAAGCCGAAGCGTGTGCTCTTGTTTCTTGGAAAATAAGCTAGCCTTCCTCCGAATTTCCAAAAATTCGACAGCAATACGACCAAGAGGCACCAGTCTGCTGTGAGTAGTTGTAGATAGGGACTTCGTGAGGTGGAGGGTAAATCTAAATGTTTTCCTTTCATTGTTATGGTCCACATGATGATCCACCGACGGACATGACTATGACTATGATACAAGAAATGCTGAATAGTTTTTGCTTGTCTATCGCTCTTTGTGCTGTGTCATTCTCACACCCATAAAAAAAGCTATACTGCTACTTGTTTCCATGTTGAGGTCATCGGTCATAGATCTCCATGAATGTTGACAAATGGAAAATCTACAACACTCTCGTTCGTGGAAGGACAAGCCAAGAAAAGGTAAAAAGCGGTGAATGAAAAAACTTGTGAGTACCTTCCTCCACACGGCGAAAGAGCGAGTGCTATAATGGGTCTCCTGCACGTGCACTTGTCAGTGTCTCACGTTGTCCTTGTCAGTGTCTTACGCTGTCAGTGTCTTACGCTGTCAGTGTCTTACGCTGTCAGTGTCTTACGCTGTCAGTGTCTTACGCTGTCAGTGTCTTACGCTGTCAGTGTCTTACGCTGTCAGTGTCTTACGCTGTCAGTGTCTTACGCTGTCAGTGTCTTACGCTGTCAGTGTCTCACGTTCAGGAATGTTGCGATATTTTTTGTAGTTCTAGTTTCAGCAATCAAATTTTGCTCATCACGGTAAGGGCAGACTCAGCTGCTTCCACCTCTACTAGTCAGTTGTTGAGAGAAGAGATGATGATGATCATGATGATAAAGAACGAAGATGATGACGATAAAAAAGATGATGATAAAGTTATACATAGAAGATGCTGATAAAGTCTAAGTTATAGAAGATGATGAGAAAGTTAAAGTTATAGAGGAAGAAAATAAGAAGAAGAAGCTAGAAGTTAGTTACTATAGGAAGCCTGGAAGAAGAAGATGAAGAAGAAGAAGGATGTCGATGACGAAAAAGAAAGATTTTCTTTAATAAAAAGTTTCTTTGTGAAAAGAAAACATTAAAATGCCACTAGACAAGCAGAAGCGCGTCTTTAGAGGGACAAACTCAAGAAATTGCAAATGTTGTTCAGTCACAGTCTCACAAGGAATAATTGTTCCACCCAACGATCCCTCTCTTACCACACTCGTCACTCGTCTTTGCATGCTTGGAGGTGAGAAGAAATTAAACCTACGGGATAAGACACGACGGTGCTGAGTGAACTCCTGACAATTACGAGACAATCAACGGGACTGCTGGACAGTACAAAACGCTATTTTTTGACCTTTCGACATCAAGAACACTGCGACATTGCATGAGGGTCACGACTTTCGGCACTGCACGATCTGCACCAGGAGTGCCTGCACTTCTAAATAGGCCAAGCGCTACTAGTTAGACATCACTGTCTGAAATCATAAGAAGTACAACAAGGCAAAAGTCCCCAGCTGTGGCGCTAATGTGAAATCTCTCGTTGATGTTGTTGTACTTTTCCATTGTCCTGCTTTCATGTTCATTTTTCTCAAATAACTTCAACTTTTACATTTACACTGACTCGCAAATCCATTATTTAGGATGCATATCAATGCTCACGTTCAGCACGTCTGTCGTCATGAAGGACCACGAGAGCAACTCTTATCATGCATGCTGACCTGAAAAACCATTAGAACGAGGAAAAGGACGACAAGCGGCGCCCCTAATAGTTTTTTCGTCTTGCCTCGTCTATTAGAAGTCAGTGTCAGAGGGGACCGCAGTTGTACTACTAGTAGTATTGTTCTTGCTAGTACTATTCTTGGAGAACATTCTGGAGAGTTTTTGGCTTTCTAGTCGATCAAGGCGATCCAATTCTAGTGCAACTTCTTTGAAATCGTCCTTCAAAGTGAAGTGTTGGTAGTCAAAGTCGCAGTTTACAGTTCCTCGCGCTCGACGGTGACGCCAGGACCCATGATCTGCGACAGCACCGTAATCCTTGCAGGCGGAATCGAAGTTCACGTTGGCAACATCTGCTTTTACGTCGTGAGCGGTGTTTGCGTCAGCGTCAGCGTCATTACCTTCCTCTATGGGAGTTTCACTAGTCGCCCAAGGATCCCTTGCTTCACCCTCTGCGTGTTTGGTCCTGGTTCTTCTGGCTCCTGACAGGGTTTCTTAGACGAGGTTGAAACTGACGGAGGGCACAGACACAGACAGTGACAGTCGATCTAAAAGGTTTTTCGCGTTGTCATGTCTCCTTTTGGCCACTTATGTTGTTATTGAAATTGAAGTAAGTTGATAGTAAAGCTGTTCCTATTGTTGGTGTTGGCAGCAATAAGAAATAGAAAAACCTTCAAAAACTATCACTGAGAGTGATTGATACTCTAACACTAACTCGGTAAGACGTAGACATAAGATTTGATGCCGAAGAACCTAACCTCTTCATCAACCTCTTTGTCGTCAGTTGTATTCTTGTCAACCGAAGAAGCAGTCGCACTAGCATCCTTATCGCGATTGCTGCCTTCAATGTCAGGCACTGGTGCATCTTCTTCTCCTATTCCAGCACCGGCAGGATGATTAAGATTATCATCGATCGCGTTTTTCGATAAGTCGTCATGTTTTCTAGACAACCCTACTTTGGTATCAGCAGTAGGCGTACTATTCGTAGTCTTTGGCTCGAAGAGTTTTTGGGCAATGCTTTCGAAAAAGCCAAAGATCGGCGATGCTGGAGGTGGAGCCGAAGATGCAGCGCCACTAGTTTCGCTTCGAGGATTGGAGTGGTTGCCTGATGCAGGTGTCGACCCTTCTCCTTCATCCTCGTGGTCCCTTTCCAGAGTATTACTTGTCGCAAAAGCCTTCTCTGGAAAAAAGATGAACGGAATAATATGTTCCAAGTCCGCCTGCTTTGTGCCGATGTTAGTATTATGGCCTTCTGTTTCATCATCTATTGGCGATGGGTAAAAGTGAAAAACCTGCCGCTTCGCGGAGTTCGCTTTGATTTCACCACCATTCTTTTGACCTAAATTTCGATTTCGTGCTTCCCCTTCAGCAGGACTGAACGACCGCCCTTCGTTCACGAGGCGCTGTTGAGCATGAGCACGTTGTGATCTTTCATCTTGTGTGGGTGTACTCCCTGCTCCTGCTCTTCTATTTGTCGAGGATTGCTGCGTACTCGACGGGCCGCGTCCTCTATCGAACGCATCGTTGCCTTCCGTAAATCCGTGTGACCCCTTTCCACCTTTAGGGGATGCGCCTGTTCTTGCTACCGGACGACGGCCTAGCAACCAATCAAGCATCCTTCTTAGAGGGCTTTGCTTTCTCCGGCTCGTTAGTGGTTGACCGGAAGCTATCCGCTTACCTGCTCCGCTGACCAAATTACTCTTGTTTTTTCCACCTGAACCGCGTTTCGCACTACCTTTGCCCTTACCAACACCTCCTCCGAGTCCTTTCTTAAGCGCTTTTCCTTCCCCCATGCCCATACCTCCTTCATGATCTGCTGAAGTGTTCGTGTTCGACTCTTGTTTCCCCAGTCCCTCTCCGTTTCCGCTGGCTGTTTTTTGTGAGTCCGAGTCGGATGAAATGCCCTGCTCTATTTCGTCCTCAGCATCTTCTACTCCCGCGTCGCCTCCCTCAGGTGCAGCACCCCGCTTCCTCATCCGTCGACGGGCTTCGCGACGGCGCGAGCGACGGTTCATGGGCCAAGATTGTTCCTCTGCTTTAGCCATAGACGAAAGCTCTCGTGCCTCCTGGGCCTCCTCCCACCGACGCCACTCTCCTGCGAGCTCGCGCAGGCGGGACAAGTCAGCCTCTTCCCGTCGCCGGCTGCGAAGCACAACCGGAAGATTGAGCGAGCGACAAGGCTTAGCCTCGACCCACCGCAACTGCTGAAACCAAGGAGTGAACGTCGGTTTCTGCGCTATAATACCCCCTCGTAGAAAGTTCTTGCCCCATCCCGCGTCCTTTTTTTGAGAGGGAAGAGCTCCTGTCTCGTCTCCAATTTCATCCTTGCCTCTCCTCCTACTGCTCGTGAGGATGCTCGATGACGCGGCTGCACTTTGTTGTTCAACCGTGGGGGCAAATTCATCCTGAGCACCCGCACCGGGACGCATAGAAGGAGTGCTTGGATTCCCGTCTACTACCGAACCACTGGGCCTTACGTAGGCCTGCCATTTTCTAGGTAGCGACCGCAATAGTGTCTCGCAATCTGCCACAGGCTTCACGTTTTTGTTTTCCGCACGCTTCGAAACCTCCTGTAGCTGCTCTGCAGGTGTCTTACTATCGACGTCGGCAGTTCCAGATGAGACTGCGGTCGTAGGCATAGCTTTTTTCCGATAGATCAGAACGCTGAACGGACAGCAGTCGAAAATCTCCGCAGTTCCGTTGAGCGACGCGTTGACAAGCAAGCGCATACACTTTCGATCCTTTTCGAGAGCGATGTCTTCATGGTTCTTCATCTGTTCCCGGTGCCGTTCCTCCGCATCTTCAACGCGGTAACCTCTTCCTGTAAAGTTCGAGGAAGCAAGAAGCACACTTACCGGTGTACGTCCAACGCAGACAATCTCGTCTTTGGCCTGTAGCCCTTGGCGTTCGCCCCAACCAGCCTTCTGCACCTCGCGAATTCTCAACGTCCTTACCGCCGCGCCCACCTTTGTCGCGACTTCCCGTTCCTCAAAACGCAGACCCAAAGGCCGTTTGACCAGACCAACAGAAAAGCTAGAAGATGCGTCGGATGAAGGTCCTCGCTGACGTTCTGGTGTGCGTGTTTGATTTACTCCAAAGACATTTTTGAAAGCAGCCACCTCGTCCCTGAGTCCCTTTCTCGTTATCTGCAGATTGAAGTATTGCCCAAGATGCGATGCTCGCAGAAAGGAAAAATCCACTGCTTGTAATCCGGACTGCAAATTGCCCTCGATTCGTCGAAGAACAGCGTCATCGGGATCTCTCCCAGGCCACGTTGCAACAATGATTAGAAGACTGCTACAGGAAAGTCGTCTTCTGGTCCTGTGGAGGGCTTCGCCTGTAATTTTGGTATCATTTTGGTCATTCAGAGTTGCGTCTACTCATCAATGTAGGGCATAGGGTAGCCGTAGAGTTGTAACTCCTTCGTATTGGTAGCCGCCTAGCACCTAGGATTTTTTCTAATTCTATTTGCTCATTCCCTTAACTTCGTGATGCGGTCACCGCAAACCGCTAGCAAAACATCGCCAACCTCAATCCTTGCTTTTTCTGCTGGCGATCCTGGCCTTGGAGCTTCCTTGACACGCACAAGAGGAAATCGAGTCCAGTCAAGTTCCATGCCGAAGAGGTGCATCAAGCGAATCCCCGAAGCAAGCCCAACATGTTAGAGCAATACGAAGAGGCGTTTGTGCGCACGTGCTGCTGTCCTCGTGGTCGCGAACGGGAATACAAGTGCCGAGAATCCTACAAGGTTAAGGGCGTCGGGATGGGGAAGGGGAGGACCTCCACCTCAAAATTCTTGAATAAGTAGTTACTTAGTCTTAGTCAACCGTGAGCATGACCACGACCATTAACATGGCTAAACTCGTTGTAAAGATGGCACTTCCATACTTCTCGAAGTCTCCTGATAACAATTTCATTCACATTGCAAAGTCAGGCCTTAAATGCTGTCTTGAAGCAAGTAAGCGTTGGGTCCCAAGTCGTTTTGCCGCCATCCCGTGAAGCCATAGTCCTTCAGAAGTTGCCTGGCCAAGAACGCAAAATGTCCAAGTTGAAACGGTGGGGGTGGCAGCAGGAGACGAGAATCGTTCTCAGCATCATCATCAGATCCTACCATGCTGGTGCAACAGTGCCTGTAGTTGTTGGCACTCTTCCTCGGCTGAGAGGACAGAGTTCCTGAAGATAGCCTGTTTTGAAATCTGCTTCCATCTCTGCCTCGAGGAATATCGTTCTCAATTGCGATTTTCGACAGTTGAGCACGCACTTTTGCATTTCCTTCTGGAAGTGGCAGTGGTCGAAAACCTCCAGACGTCTGCTCTAGAGACTTACCGGCAAGCGACTGCTCATACAGGGGACGCACAATTCGAAAGCAGAAAAGTCCGTCAACGCGCTCCTGGCTGACACGCTGTGCATCAAAATGACCATTCAATAACAGATTTTGACCATCTTGGAGGACTAATCGTAGCTGCCTAGCTTCTACTTCAACATCGAGGTCGTAGCTTTTCATGTTGTGGTCTCCTGTAGCGTCAGCAGCGAGCTGATTTGGCACAACCTGTCCAAGATGCGCTCGAGTTTTCTGGTTCCTCTCCCGATCCGCTAAGATGCAAGTAGCGGCTCTGAAGGCGCACTGGAGTAAGTCTGGAGGCTTTGTTGCTTCTGCATTCTGCAGCTGCTGTCCCGTGGAAAGGACTTTCACCAGCCGACCACTAGCACCACACAGCTCACGTAGCGACACGACGACGCGAGAATCAGAGCCACCTCCTAGGCTCTCGATCGTAGATTGCATTGGTGTGAGAAAATTGCAACCAACCTTGCAACCAGCCGGTAGAGTTGCCGATACTACAGTAAAACCTGTGGTCTTGTCGGATTCCGTATGCGCATGGTCTCCAGCAATCTCTGGGCGGATAGGAAAGCAATCTCGTTGCAAGCGTCTCTTCCGTTCAACATACGCTCTATTGAGCGCAACGAGAGCTGCATTGGAGACATGCCCCGTTTCTGCCAGCGTTTCGGTCAGCTCCCTTAAACCCTGATGCCTCATGCGATGTCGCGCTGCCAACAACATGAACGCAGTTGACGCAGGTCCGAATGCTATCTCCATCCGATGCCCAATTGGTCTGAAGAGCGGAGCGTAGTACCATCTGTCGCTATGGCGACGGCTTAAGCTAGTCGTGGTCAGAGCTAGAGCAGCACCTGTATTAACACTTTCATTTGCTGGCACTGCTGGCGTCCTCCTAGCGCCGTTTTCATTACCTCGCCTGGCCAGCTTCGCACCATTCACTCCTTCAAGAAAGCGCGCCCTTTCGTAGCTGAAGCACGAGTCCAGTACCTTCTGGATATGATCATTACCCTTACGATCAACGACATTTTTAGCACTGTGCCGATCTGCGCCGATCCCGATCCCGAGACTAGACATACAAGACTGTGTATACCATTGCTCGTCGTCGCGCTCTAAAGCTAGGCGCGTAATCGATGGACTCGCTTGTAGAGCAGCGCCCCAAAATGTCCACAAATCTGGCTCAGCACGACAGGCTGTGTTCGAAACTTTTCTGCTTGGTCTTTCGCTCCGTCGTCGAGGTCCGCTAACCTGAGGTAGGGTCAAGACTAGAGCGCGCTTTGAGGTGGCAGAAAAACTGCTTTCTTCGAAAAGGCGCTGCTGCTCTGCCGCTGCCTGCCACTTTGCTCTTATCTCCTGCTGTTTTGAACTCGAGGTCTTTTTCTTAATTCCTCTTTCTTGGTCTCGTGCATTCGTCGAGGTGCCTACATCTGTGTCCGCCTCCCCTGCGAAGACTGCACCACCAAGCGCTTCCGTAAGCACATCGCCTGTTACGCGATTTTGAAACTGTAACGAGCTGAAACGGGAAGTCGAAGCATCTCCTGCTTTTTCGTTTTTAATCGGCGGAAACCAAGGTCGAACTCGACCTTGTTCCTGCAGACTGAATATCTTCTGGCTCGTTGAAAACACTTGCGCATACGACTCGCCGAAAAGACGGTTTGCGTCGACGAAGACGCCATCAGCCGTGAGGACTTGCAATCTGGTGCTCCCATGTTGAACAGCTGCGCCAGCTTTAGTCGTCAATAGAGGACAAACGCTATCATGTTCCGAGCACGTTCGATACAGAGCGACGCATTCAGCGTTGTAGTTCATCGTCAGTGATTGTTGACTGAAGCCAGACATCTTCTGAGCATCTCGAAGCGGAGATAAAGAGGGCTGTGTTCCTGAAGCCGCATCTTCCCCGTGACTGTGCGCAACGCGAATGAGTGCGCCAGCATATTTGCGACTGCAACTGGCCTCAAAGGAATCGAGGCTGCGCGCCAAAAAGCCGGGTTTTTCAAACCCGGAAAAAAGCGGAGGCAAAGCTACAGTTCGCGAATTCTTCTGACGAACTCGACTTCTATTGTTTGGAGAGAAGTACGTAGCTCCAGCGGAACGGCCGTGGCCGATCTCGATTTCGCCCTGCGTGTCGTTAGATGAAGTACCCACTAACTTCGTAACCATGGAACTTATAAAGTTCACAGCGTCATCTGCTCTACCGTAGGTTCCTTTTCGCTCACTTTCAAATCGCTGGATGATGCGTTTCCAGTTGGCATCGATATCGCGGATGCCGCAAGTTGGGGCGAGCAGCGTTCCCCAGTCTTCAGCGGACAAATCAAGATCGAGCTCGACAATATACTGCACCAGTCCCAGGACGAAGGCTTCAAACTCTGCTGCCGAGCACAGACCACTTGAATACCAAGCGCCGATCAATGCGCTCGTGTGGTAGAGACAGTCTAGGAAACGCTGCAACACGGATTCATGCAAGAAAACAATCGGATCCTGGTCATCGTCCGCGGAATCTTTATTTCCGTTCATGTGGTTGGGCGTAGACGTACCTTGTCGTGTCTTTCTAGACGCCTGGTTTTCGGATTCTTCGGAATCCTGAACGCTCTTTCGCCGACTTCTCGCTCGTCCGGGGTAGACGCCTGTAAGGAGAAAATGTCGTTGCTGTTCGTGGCGTTTTGCGGTCTCTTCACGCTCTTTCGCATAGAGCTTTAAGAACGTGGAGCTGAGATCGCGTGCCTCCGCGATCTCCTTGGATATATAGGACAGTCCTCGGAAAACAAGACGAAAGAGCTCGACTGCAGTCACGTACGTGAAGGGTCTCTGCACTCGTTGGTCCTTCTTCTTCTCAATCTTCACAACTCCAACTCGTCCCTCATCACCATTATTGACGACTTCCGGGATGGTGAGAGAATAGAGACCGAGAATAGCGAGCAGTGAGTCGAAAAGGGGCAACGTACTCACTCCGCCACTGCCCCACACGTACAAGAGCCTTGGAAAGAACGCTTCTGCACTGAAAAAGTTCGCTGCGTTGGAACTCGGTCCGCGATGACTCGCCAGCATAAGCTCCTGCTTCCCGCGATCATCTGCATTCGGCAACGCAACTGCTGCATCCTCCTTCGAGGCTTCCTTCTCTTCCTGAAGGTGCTTCCCGCGATCATCTGCATCCCCCTCCGAGGCTTCCTTCTCTTCCTGAATAGACGGAGTGTGTCCCGCCAACAAGAGAACGCGAATCAGGGAAAGGCAGGCTGCTTGTCGCCGGAGGCACGCGCGCTGCCGACTAGAGAAGAGAAGGCGGAAGGCTATCCGGAACAGCTTCTGGGGTGGGAAGCTGCGAAATTGCCATACACAAATGTTCAGCAGTGCAATCTCCAAATCTATCTTCTCGCTGTCTTCTGCTTCGAGCGCTATCATGTTCCGAGCACTTGGCAGTTTGGATCCCGATAACGTTGATTTTCCTATACCATCCTCCAAGCGCTTTAAGACCGATTGGACGAAACGTGGGCCCACTACGAGACGAGATGCTCGCGGAAAATCTGTGCGGTCTGAATTGAGTAAAGTAAGCATATCCTCAACCAGAAGCAGATCTAACTTTACGCGTTTCGAAGTATCTGCTTTGGAATAACTTCGAGATGAACCCGACCACATCGAAACATTTTTAGCGTCCGACAATAGAAACAGATTCACGACTAAGTTCCAAAGACGAAAACGTGCCAAATGACCATCATGCTTTGCCTTGTTTTCGGCCGTACTCTTGCCCGCACCCGCGAAACCTGCAATCTTCGCGTCTGAGTCTGCTTGGACAGTTGTTGCAGGATTTCCTGGTTGGTCACACCCGATAGGAGCTGTGGAGCTCACAGCACCCGCTCGTTCTCGCGGTCCAGCCATCACTGTCGATCGTCCCTTTCGTTCTGCTACCGGTGCCACAAAACCCAGAAACGCATACAACCCGTTCGCCATGGCAGAGGTCATGTCGTCGACAGCGTTGAGAAGAAGGCCTCGTCTGGCACGCTCTCGTTGTTTCTGTACTGATGGTGGCAGTTTCGGCGCACTGCCATAGGAAAATGCCTCCCAACGCAAGCGTGTTCCGCTTCCGTCTTGTCCGAAACCAAAGAACACGCGAATAATAGCGGACGCTAACAGAGTGCATTCCCAAAGCAGGCTCTGTGCTACAGGCGATCCTGCAAGTGCCGACGACAGACGGCTGTTGTAACCGCGAGTCTCTGTCTCCTCGTCTTCTGCGCCGATCGATGGCTTCTGCCTGTCAGGAGCATCGTCGTCTCTCTGACCCTTTTTCTTGTTACGTTTTTCCGGACTAGAGGACTCGCTCGATCTTTCTTTGTCCGGAGGTAGCCCTGCACATGTGCTTTCGCTTTGGAAAACGCCTTCATGTTCCGACAAAAAGAGACCGGCGAATGGACTCCCGCAGCTGTCTGCCAACGGCTTTAGGGCTCCGAATAGGACAAGCACGGCGCACTGCGCAATTACGTGTCTTGAGTGCTCCGGAACGAAAAGGAAAGGCGAATTACAATCAAAAGACGACATTGCTGCAACAGATGTTCTTAAAGTAGAATGAGGTTCAGCTTCAGGAGAGCTTACAACAGTGGAGGTACCTGCAACATCGTCCTCTATGCCGATCGCGCCTTCAGATATTGTATGAGAAGCTTCCGGGCGCGCCGCGTAGCAACGAAATCGGCGACGCATGTACCATGAAGACGCACGAAACCGAGAGTCAGCGACATGCAAATGTTGATACTGTCGCAGTTGAGACGTCGATTCGCCGAGCGGGAACCACTGCGAGCCTGTCCAAACCGCATCGACAAGCCCGTTTCCTAGCGCGGCTGAGCCAGGTGTATCCTCGATGACCGTCGTAGTGTCAGCCGCAGAATCGCCTTTTCCATTCTCACCAGCACCTCCTCGCAAAATACCGCCCAAGACATTCCCAGCTGCGGCAATTGCGCCGAAAACAAGCTGTCGCGGAGCAGGCGATTGCTCCTTTCGTTGAAGCGCAGAAGATGATGCAGGATTCGACGCAGGACTCTTTGTTGAGCTCCGTAGTTTTTCGGTGTCACGGAGAGCAAGCTCGATAAAGGGCGCTCGTCTTGACAGCGCAAGATTCGCGATAACGTCATCAATGTCGAGATTGAGAAGTTCTTCGTCGCTCATCTGTATCAAAAAATGATTCTCAAAAAAGTACCTACCCAAGCATCGCAGGCTCTCCGCAGTAACTTGATTTTCCAGGAGCTTGAGCTCTATCGCCGATGGAGGATCACTGGAAGCAGCATCATGCTTCTGCAGCACGGCAGCATCACGCTTCTGCTGCGGCTCGTTAGGTCGATTATCGTTCGCTTCATCACCTGGCTTCCGGTCGATCTCTTCTTGCTCACCCTCTG